TTCTGGAGGGGATGCTGGTGATGGAGGAGGGGGCGGAGGTGATTTTGGAGGAGGGGGCAGAGGTGATTTTGGAGGAGGTGGGGGTGATGGTGGAGGGGGTGCTGGTGGGGGTGCTAGCTGTGGTGGATGTGGAGGCTGTGGAGGTTAAAATTATTGGCAGTTAGTAGCAAGTGATATAAAGCTACTATATGCCAGAGCTGGTTTCTCAAAGATGTCTTGTGCAAGAAAGATGTTGTTTGGTTAATCAATTTTACCAAATTTTGGAATGTGATAGAGCAATATGGAGATGGTATTGCATTGAAATGAATAAGTGGTGATTTTGAGAAACTGGTGTCTGTTGTGTTATTTTATGGTGATTCCTCAAAGCTTATTGTGATAGTAAACCAAATTGTTGATGCCATGTTTGTATATATGTATAGTGTTAACCCTATGTATATAATGAAAGCAAAAGAGACCAGTAAGGAATTATATGACGTGCCATTTTAATTGTTATCAGGTTTCATGTTTCCAATGTATCTTGATGTCGAGTGACAACCTTTTTCATGACACCCCCAAATCTTTTTAATGAGCTCTTCCATATATGCATTTAATAAACAATATATGAAACAGTAGTGTGTTAAGTTTGGAGGAGTTGATTTTCAAACAAATATGAAACAAATAATGGAAAATGTTTTTGTGGTATGAAGAAGCGCCTTTTAACTTTAAAAAACAAGAGCTGGTATTTTGTAGTGTAGCCTGTGAATTGGCTGCCAATTTCATTAAAGGAATAATAATCATGAAAAATTGCTGTGATTGGTTTGAAATCATGCATATTTTTAGAAATTGAGACCAGAAATTCAGTGAGTAAACATGAAACCTGATTTTGTTAAAGAGATACAGTCACTTTATTATTTGGGTTACCAGATGATTCATCTACATGTATCAATAGCACTTTTCACATTGAAATTTACACTTAAGGTTTGCTTGAAATGAAATTATCAGGAATGAAATGAAGTTTAAGGTCCTACATTTAGATCATGATTGGACATTAAAGCGACAGTGCAATATAGTAAGTCTGTGTAACATATTAGATGTGTTGAATTGAGGCCAAGTGTAGACAAAAGTGAAAAATGCTTGATGAAATTTTATACCATTAAAAAAAGACTGTATCTCTTCGAGTCTGAAACTGTTCAGCATTAATACCAAATGTTACTGAAGAGGATGTAGAGTTAGTAGATTTTAGAGTTTATTTTATTATGTGATATCAGAAGAGATGCCTTAATTATATTCAAGGACTGAAGACAAATTTTTATTGTATATATTTATAGTCTTTGTTTTTTTTTTCTATTTTTTTTACTATTGTTATATATTTACTTCACTTAATTTTCACAACTTGCAAGAAGAAGCTTTTTGTAGATTCAAATCTTTGTTTTGCTTTGTAATTTGTCTTACACAGCTCGCACATTAAAGTTAAAATAGTTTTATTAGACTTAGTAAAAATGATGGCTTGCTAAAACTTCTTACAGTTATATTCTTTACATAAAAATTATTCATTTCTGTATTGAAATTTTTTTTTTTTTTTGTATCATTATGACTGATAAAAAAAGGATAATTTTGGTACTGTTATCTTTTCAAAGTCTCTCCTAGAGCCAAAATCTATATAAAAGTTGAATTTTTCCTATGTTTGTGTATTTCTACATTCTATGTAAATTTAAATTCATTAGTTTAGAACTCGCCTGATTCAGGTGTATGGAATTTGACAATTTTAGGTTTTTTAGTATTCCACAAGACACTTTTGTCTTCTGTGACAAATATTACTTTTATATATTCAAAGAAAACAAACCCTTCTATAAGGTTATACCATTGTGAATTAGTCTGAGTTGTGGATCAACTTATTAGGAGTTTTATTTTTAAGAATTTAAGTTATAAATAAATATCATTAAATTCTTATATCATGTGATGTAATTATTATACAAATACGAAGCAAAGTTGTGATTAAAACTAAGTTATCAGTAATAAATCATAAATAGATCATAATAATATGTAAAATTTTCATGGTTTAGAGGTGGGCAGATGGAGTGAAGTGATCATTTAATTATACAATATGGTTGTATTGCAATTCTTTTTTATGTTATTTATGGTTGTAAAATTTATATGGTTGTTAAGATTTATATAAAATATAATGAAACTATTCTGTTAAGTTCTGAATATCATCTATCACATATCACATTGGTATAGTTCCCTCTGACTAAAAGCAAATCTTTCTACAGGTTTCTCATCCTTGATCTGACAAAATTATTCTTTAAATTGAAATTTGTTTTATATTTTAATGTGAAAATTTGGCAACCATTCAAAAACAGTGTTAAAATTAGACAGAAAATTCAACTCAAGGTTTACCGTACCAATGAATATCACAGAATGCCTCACATAGAGTAAGGATATCTTTTATTGAACAGAACTTTTGATTGGTTTTAGATGACACGAAAGGCATACGTAGTCACTTGCAGAAAAACATTAAAAGAAACATCAAGATTTGCATTTAGTTAGTAGAACTTAGTTTTGCAGATAAACCTTTTTTTTGTTCCTTAGTTTCGTTTAAAGATTAGTTTTTAAGAAATGTGTATGGAAATGTCTGTAAATAGACATATCAGTCCAAAATGAACCAAAAACCGTTACATTTTCATTTAAGTTTTTTACGTTAATTACTGATAAAATGCAACTTTTTGACATGTTTCTGTCATCTGCTTGCACACAGTGATGTGAGAGATCAATAAACTAAAATTTTTGTACAAAAATCAACAAGAAAACACAATAGATATATTAGTATATTATAATATTATTAAATAATAACCATCTATTCCTGCAGTTGAACAATTTATATTAGATAAAATCCTAGTATATGATAATCTTATTAACTTGTTATTATTAATATATAAATCACATTATTCCTTCAAAAATATATCTAACAGAAATTTCTTGTCCTATTTCTATAGATGTCTTAATTATATATGTCAGTGAAAATATGACTTGACATGTTAGCTTTCAAACATGGCCAATTCCTGACACACATGGATTTGTAGGCTCAAATTTCGATGGTGAGCTGTGAACAGTACTACTGATTGGCTTAGCTAAAAAATTCATGTTTCTAAGGATTGATTGGTCAAAAAATAGCATCCGTTCCTTTAAATGCAAGCTTTTTATTAAATCACTTTTCATCACTATGTACCTGAGGATCATGGGAAAACACATCCTATCATTTCTTAAAACTAACTAGATTGTTGTTCAATAAAGCTAGGTGTATATATCACAATTGCTAAATTCAATTTAAAGAAGTTTAAGTTGTCATCCAGATTGCAATGTACATTGTCAGAGACGGTTTTGATCTATGTTGTCATGATAGGGGCAATACCTGCAAACCAAACTTTGAATTTTCCACCACTGCATTTCTTCAATTCATAACTAATATTATTATTATTTGTAGTATATAAGTATATAAGTATATATTTTACAGTAATGCCAAGCTATACTCTGTACTTTATATAAGCTTTATTTAAGATTTAATTATTTTCCATCTGATTAAAATGCAGATTTTATGCATTATTCTAGATATCACTGACTAGTTATTTTTATATTATGACTGACTATTGTCCTAATATCCAGAAATGCCTATAACTGGACAAATAATACAATATAAGTTAAAGTCTAATAATGAATATCCAAGGTTCTACATCTTGTTTTAGAAAAGAGTTATTGAAAGGAGATTGGCCAATATCTTAGTAATTTAGAACACATCCTGGATAACAAGTTCATCAGATCAGTAGTGCATGTGGAATCGGGTACAGAATAAAAAGGAAAAAAAAACATCTAGATCTGCATTTGAATCAGATTGACCCAATTTATATACATGTATTATTATACTCTTTTTATTCCAATATATATTTTTCTTTATTTTGCTGTTTTTTTGTGAACAATTTTATTAATTTTGCTCACTTTGGTGCAGTTTTTGTGCTCATTTATGTTCTGGACCAGATGATCATACTATATAGATTGCAGATACCAAAATTCATCAGATTTATTACTTTATTGCTTTATCTTGGTACCTTATGGTATTAAAGTGGAAGTGAAAGTAGTAATTTTTATAAGCCCACATGAAATGGGGGGCGTATATTGCCGTCAACCATGTCTGTCCGTTGGTCCGTCCGTCGGTCAATCCACAATTGCTCGTAAACACTCTACAAGGCGCAATTCTTAACTGATTTCAACGAAAATTGGTATGGTTGTTTGTTATCACCAAAGGATGAACCCTATTGAAAATCAGAAAAATCGAAAAATATTTAGTGTGAGTTATTGCCCTTGTTCTTAAAAACATGTTCAAGTTTTAGCCTGTAAACACTCCAGAAGGCCCAATTCTTGACAGATTTTGATGAAACTTGGTAATATTATTCAGTATTGCCTCAAAAAATTCAGAAGAAGTGTATGTCTGAAGGTTAAGATTTCATACTGGTAGTTGTTACTGAACTGCCAAATATTTTTATTTAAAATCAAAGCTGCCAGTGGGCGTATATAACCTATCTTTAAAATTAAAATAATGCACTTGCATCAAACCCATGCATAATATTTTTGGAAAGGATTCAAGAGCCAAATTAATTAAAATTAAGTGAGGGCCAAAATTAAATAATGCATATCTGTTTAAAAGTGAAAACAGGGCTGAAACTGACCTACTAACTGCCCTGTATAACTGTATAATGACAAATTTGTAACTATATATTTATAACTAAAGATTTGAATTCATCATATAATATAATTTGATTCATATTATATACTACTAACGGCAAGAAATTCTGAAACTTTACAGGCTTTCATTGATTAAGTGACTGTTATCAACATCTGTCGAAGCCTGTGAAAAACTTGGCTATTATAATTTATTGTATTGACATGCACTTAAAAGTGTGACTCTTGTTCTTTATTACTTTAATTTGATAAGTGTGCAATTAATTCAATATCAAATACATTTATGACTGATGCAATAACATAATTAACAGCAGTATAATCATCCTGGCCAGAAGGAAATTCTTATGTGTAGTTTTAGTGGTTGTTGTTAGATGGTGATGAGAACATTGTTTCATGAAAGCACTGGCCTAGGTTACAAAGTAAAGATTTATGATAAAACAAGGTGCAAGTTAAAGGTTAAGATGATTAGATATTTTAACTAAGGATATATCTGTAATACTATCAGTGGTAGTATCATTTCTTTAGCTGAAATAGCTGAAAATATAAGAACCAACATTCTTCTGATATATCAATAATCATATAAAGATCAAATCTGTATTTATAGTGAAACAAAATCTTTTCATGTATCTATTAGAAAATAAGAAGGATTAATATGAATAGTGGTTGTTAACATTAGGTTTCTCAAATTGTTTTTTGATAACAGTACAATTGTTATTAAATTCTGTAATACAACTATATATGAGAATGTTAATTACCATCTGAATATTTAGTATGTCAACACTTCTGCTCTGACGTTAAGACAAATTAGGCATTGGATACAACCTTGAATTAGAATGCACATACAATTTAACTTCTTAAACTTGGCCAATAATATATATTCATCAATTGGACTTAACTGTTGTATAAGCATACAGTCATACATTTATAGTCCAATAAATCCTTTGTAGTTTTAAGGTTAATTAGTTAGTTTTATAGATATATCGAATTATAGAGGGATTCTGTTGTATAGTTATGGCACTTGGAAGGTTCAAAGATGAATATATACTCTTACTGGCCCAGTTTCAAAATCTGAATTTTATGTTCATCCTTTTAGAGTGATAAGCTTGGAAAATACTATAAAGTTAAATACATTTTCATCTCTTAGTTTAAAATTCTGTTATTTTACGTCTTTGAATTCCTGAAAATATTTTTTCTTTATCAGATATTAAAGCCACATATCCCTTTTAATCCTTTACATTTGGATCAATTTTCAATATATATTTTGTTTATTGTGCAATGAACTTTGATGGGAAGCCATCTTTAAATGTCAACTTGTAAGTCCTTTGTTTTATTTTAACTTCTTTGGTGTAAAACTGCTTAAAGTGGTCATAAGCTTTTTTTAATTGTACTTTTTACACCTATGCATAATATTAAATATATTATTTTAAAATGAAGTTGTAATTGTTGCCCAACTGAAATGGATAGGCCCTTTTTCTTTCCTTGTTTAAGGCTCTGAGAAACATCTGTGAGTGTTTGAACAAAGAAAGTGCTTGATACTTAATATGTGACGTTAAAGGTGGGCTCTGCCTTAACTATTAATAAATTGCAGATGCCGCCAGTCTGTTATTATGCTCTGCCTTCTAGCAAAAACTGTTGTCAAGACTGGAATCTGCGACCAATCCCTTGATATGAGCGATCTTGACGATGATGATGGATGAAATTGAGATCTGTGTCCAACTGATGAGGAAACCAACACTATCGTCCCATCTAAATTACATGATGCTTTTTTCATGTCAACCCCTCCGAACTGCATGACAAACCAATGTCTTAACTTTGAGGTCATTTTTGAAGACCTATTATAAAAGAAAGAATCAATCACTACCTCAAGACCACCAGGTTAGCCCAGTTATGTTGCTGAACATTGTGGCAAGCAAAGCTATATCAACAACAGGTTACTAACTTGTAATCCGATGTAAACTTGTTTTAGGATAAGAGTCGCTTACAGATGTTCAATATGTAACTCTAAGTAAGTTCTAATGAAAGGATATCATAGATATCTTCACCTATAGTGACTGCAAACAAAGAACCAGAGCCGCATATAGAGGTTCTGCAAAGAACAGGTTCAAATTATTTATAGTCATAGTCTTTGAAGTCCAAGAAGAGTTACTTCCCATTTAAAGAGAAATCATAGATATGGACTGGATGTCAAAGAGTAGTGCACTGTGGGTAGGTTATGGTTTCCTGTTTGATTGAGACGAGAGCTTCCTAAAACTTTAAAAAGTTTGTAAATTTCTTTTTTAGCGTCATTTTAGCAACTTTTTTGCCTCATTTAAGCTTATTGCATCTTTTTGATTCTATGCGATTTTATGCCAAGCTTTTTAATGTGTAACAACTATGGTTTCGCGTAATGTCAAACAAGAAAGTCGGACAGTCACTCCACTTATTAATATGGCAAAGGAGAAGACATCATATTTTCTTAATAGCAATACGGAAGTGACATTCTTCTCTTGTCATGAAAAAGGAGTTTAAACGACAAGTACTAAATTACTTATTTCTGAAACTTGGATATGAATTAAATGTATTTTTGCACTCTGGCACTCCCTAATATTTAAAAGGCCTTTCCTTGACATTGCCTTTTGAACATTTGCCTGGGTATCCTGTTACATGTAAGGAAGGACAATGCTGGTTTTTTTTTTTTGAACTTTTAACATTGTATGTCCATGGCTCACTATTTTAATTTCATAGCATGGATGTCCAAAACAATTCCTTTACAGTACTACATGGACTTTCCAATCTGATTTCTAAACCACAAGACATTCTCTGGTTTGATCAACTTCCTGTTCTGCTGCTGATGAATTTGTTTGACTTGTTCACTTTACATTTTTGATTCATTTGACATCTTATAAATAAGATATTTAATTCTATATTATAAAGAGACATTAAAAAGAAAACCTCTACACTACTTTTTACAAAAGTCATCGAAGTTTTCATTCAGAAATGGTCCTTTAAAGCAATAAAAAAAACATTAAGCCTTGTCCTATGAATATAACAAACACAAAATATGATACAGATTACTTGTGTCCTCCTGATAAGGAGTTTTATTTTACAAAACAAATAGGTTTTTTTCAGTAACACTTGTTTTAGCTTGAAAATACAGGTGTTAGTTTACTATAAGGCCTTAATCTTCATCTTATGCATGCTTCATTACCTTCTTCAACATAAATTTATATAACTCAATAATATGTATCGTCTTAGCCTAGTATTGCTGTAAACAGACTCTAGAGCTCAGTGATAAATTTAACAATAAACTACTCATTTTATATTAGTCAAAACATCAATTATTCCTTATAGTGCCCAACAGGCCTACAGACATGTTCTAAGTGCTGCCATTATAAGTCAGTATTCCAACACAGGGAGAATTAATATCCCAGGCACCTATTTTATTTCATCTTTTAATTTATTATGATATAATAATCACTATATTACTTTCCGTTGTCGTCGAATTTTCACCTTGACCCGTTCTTTCGTAAGTTCAATTATATTTTGTTGTTACAACCACTCCCCCCTAGAGTTTATAATCTGTTCTGTTGAAATTTAAGATTGAGACATTCTGATATCTGTGAAAGAATCCAGGATGTTTAAAGGAAGATTTAAGAAGAAGAATAAGAAACTGAGTAATGAAGATGATAACCCAGCTGACAGCATGGTGATTGGTACACCCAGTAATGTTACTCATAACATACATGTTGGCTTTGATATTTCCCAGGGAAAGTTTGTAGGTTTACCAGACTCTTGGACTGATTTGTTGAAAGGATCTGATATTTCGTAAGTTGATTTATGGTTTTTCTTCAAATTTATTAGAAAAACTGGACCCTTTCGTCAAAAATCTGTGTGTGAGATTCTACACTATGTAACAAATTTCTATCATGCGATTTTTGCAAGACAATGCCAAAGTTTTACATACAAATGACACACAAAAATGAGGAATTTGACAACTTTTTATTACAGAAAAGAAGAACAGAAAAAGAATCCACAAGCTGTCATCAACTCACTGAAAACCTTCCAACAATCAGTAAAGAGGAAGTCGTCAACTGGTCAGAAGTTTATTTTAATAGCTAAAGAGATCCGAGAATCAGATGAGTTATTAGATACTGATGATTCTACGAGTGATAGGAGTAGTGAAAACGTACCTGAGGATGATAAAGTTTTTAATCAGGATAAACTATCTCAGGAACTTGATGACGTAGCACCAGAATTAGTAAGTTAAATTGGAGTTGCCTTTCTATTTCTTATGTTTTTGAATCTGATTGCATTATATATTTTAGATCTCTTGTGGTTTCTGAATCACATTTTGATGTTTCTCTTTTAGATGAATTGACATATTACTTCAAAATAGTATGGAGAGTCTTATATTGTCTTTGGATTGATGAATATTTTAATTCATGGAACAAAATATGTGGAAATTTGATTTTGCAAAAGGCAGTTATTATCAAATGCTCTGTATTTTTAAATTCCATTTCAACTAGTTATTCAGAAATCTTAATTGTTTGACTTTTCATGTTTCATTTATCTTGATAAAGTTTGTACTAATTCTTCATCTGTTTATATGTGGCTTGTCATAATTTCCATCATGATTTAAGTAATCTTGCTATGGCCACAGGCCCCTCTTTACGAACACCCAATATCACTTTAATGGAACTAGCTGGGATTGTCAACATGACTTCAAAATTAAAATTGTATAATTTGTTTTGGTTCATCCTCAAAAACATTTTGTTTTTTTTAGCCACCTAAAACCAAATCAAAGTCACTGGACACAAATCATACAGTAGATAATGACAGTAAAGATACATCAGATGGTGCTCATGGTGGCAAAGAAGAAATATTACGACGTCCTAAACCAGGACCTAAGAAAGCTCTCACTGATAGTGAAATACATGAAGCTTTAAGTAAGTATGGACCTGGGGGTGGGGGGTTAGGTCTGTCTTGCAATTGGCAGAATCATAATCATCAATTGCTATTAACTAGCATAACCTAAGATAATCTGATCAATTACTATATTTAGTTTACCATAATTAGGGCTGGGTAAAATGATCGGAATAATCTATTATTGTTGTATTATTATAGATATTGATCGGTAGTCTGCCATCAATGATCGATCTCAATTTGCTCATCGATATCCAGCCCATACCGAAAAAATTGCAGCTGTCCTGACTTTTTTTTCTAGCAAATGATAAAACTGCAACTGATCAGATATGAATTGCCAGTTGACCTGAGGACATTTCAAATTGATGAGACTTGCTGTAAGTGCTACTGCATCCTAATCAATGTCTTTTAAATTGATGTTTTTTTCTTTTCAGGAAAGTTATCAACCCCTGGTAACCCTCAAGAAAAATATGATATTAAGAAAAAATTGGGCTCAGGGTAAGATCCTTAGGAAAATTTTTTAATTGACTGTGACTGTGCAGTGTATATTGTCTTAACCCTTAAAGCTGAAATCTAACATTTAACCAAAATAAAAAGACAAAAGTCTGCTAGTTTTAGTTTTGCTGATTGATTACAGAATCAAAATGCAAGATATCTAAGGGTAGAAATAGTATAATAGTAACAGTAGAGTAATTGAGAAGTTTCTATTTTGACAATTAGACAAGGCTTGAATTAAAATTTTGTACCATTTTTTCTCAATAATGTTTGAAAAAATCAGAATACCTCGCAGATTGCAAATTGCAGTCAATTTCATTGGAGCTCTAAATCCTGTTTGAATTTATATTTAGTCTAAATATGAATTATGTTGATCATTTCAGTGCATCTGGTAATGTTGTTATGGCACATCAAAAAGGCACAGATGATGTAGTTGCCATTAAAATGATGGATTTAACAGATCAACCAAAGAAAGAATTAATTATAACGGAAATAGAAGTGATGAAGACATATCGACATGATAATATCGTCAATTTTCTGGACTGTTACATGATCACCAATGAATTATGGGTAGTCATGGAGTGTTTAGATGGCGGGGCTCTAACTGACGTCGTCACGGAAACCATAATGAAAGAAGGACAAATAGCCGCTGTCTGTCAAGAGTGTTTAAAGGCCCTTGTGTTCCTTCATTCCCGAAATATTATACATCGTGATATTAAGAGTGACAATGTTTTGTTAGGTATGGTAGGAGCAGTCAAATTGACTGATTTTGGATTCTGTGCTCAAGTCAATCAAGAAAGAAATAAAAGAGATACTATGGTGGGAACACCATATTGGATGGCTCCTGAAGTTGTCTCGAGGTAAGAACGAAAAGATCTGCAGCATTGTTAATCTGTCATGCTGTGTATGTTTAAAATCCCTTTATAGTTTGGGGTTATAGAGAGTAGGCCATGGCAAACTCTATCCCTTCATAGTTTTTTGGGAAAAGGTTAGGCTACAGAAATTTCGATCCCTTCATAGTTTTTTTGGGAAAAGGTTAGGCTATAGAAATTTCGATTCCTTCATAGTTGTTTGGGGTCATAAATGGTAGGCAATAGGCAAATTTAGTTTTGGAGGAAAAAGGTAGTTCATGGCAAACTTGAACCCTTCATTGTTTTTACAGGAAAAGGTTAGGCTATAGAAATTTCGATTCCTTCATAGCTGTTTGGGTTCATAAATGGTAGGCCATGGCAAACTCGATCCCTTCATAGTTTGGGTCATAAATGGTAGGCTATAGGCAAATTCAATCCCTTCATAGTTTTGGAGGAAAAAAGTAGGTCATGGCAAACTTGAACCCTTCATAGTTTTATCCTCAAAGAACCTTTCATGGTGTTTTTTTATTCTTCAGCCTTGCAAGGTGCAGAAATAAGATCTCTGTTATTGTATAGAACATTGACTTACACCCTATTTCTATTGTAGAAAACAGTATGATAATAAAGTAGATATATGGAGTCTTGGTATCATGATTATAGAAATGTTAGAAGGGGAACCACCATATTTAAATGAAACACCATTGAAAGCCATCTTTAAAATTGCTACGAAAGGTAAACCAGATATCAAAAATGAAAGCAAACTGTCACCAGATCTTAAAAGTTTTATTAATAATTGTCTGGAGGTAGAACCAGAAAAAAGATCCTCAGCTGAGAAATTGCTGGAGCACCCATTCCTGCAAAAATCTATGCCGTTATCAACTTTAAAACCACTCATCAATGCAGCCAGAGAAGCTCAGAGATCGTAGAATGTTGCCTGATTTCATTTTTTATATATCTGTATTTGTATATACTTAGTAAATCTAGTAGCAGTACCATAATTATTGAGCATAGTCATTTTTCTGCTTTATTTTAACATTTAGAGGAATGATATTGCAGCTTTTTACCTCCATTGAAAATGAATGAATTTTTGTTGGTTTATTGTTTATCGAGATGTTTTGATGGTACATGTAATATGTCCATGTTTGGATGGTACATGTAATATGTCCATGTGGACTAGATGAGGCTTAGAAATATATTATATGAGGTTCTCGCATGATATTTTTATCTACATATTATATGGAAAAAATGTCTAAATATTTGCTATCTGATATTAAACAAAATATTTAGACGACTATGTTGCACTTCTAATATTCATGATAAGTTACGTTCATTAAATTTTTCTGAACAGATTTCTACATGTTTATGACAAGAATCATGACAATCTTTATAGCAGAAATATTTTCTAAAGAATAAAGCACTAGAATTGTATTCTATAATCAATAGTTAAATTTGTTACAATTTTTGATCACATTGAAAGTTTGATGTAGATACTGGGAAATTGTCTCTTCAATACATGCTTATTTTTAAAAACTGAGTGAATACCTTTTTTTTTTTCTTACGGTGGATTATGATACAAGTAAGATAGATGTTTCAAATTTAAATACCATGAATATCATATAATAGTGCTTTTAAATGGTATTCTGCTCTACTCTATTGAATCATTATCAAGTTAAATATATTTAATCCAATTTACATATGAAATAAAAAAAATATATAACAACAAAAGAACACTTGGAACTTTTTGGTAAAAGTTTGGTAAATTTAACAACGTCAATTACACATCATATTTGGATAATTCAGATTATCTAATTGCTTTACCTCTTAGAATTTTAATTCTAAATCATGCTAAGCTTATGTTAAATATGGCGCTAATATTTGTAATGATGTATATGTTAACGATTATAGTTTATGTATAAGTTTATATATTTTAGATTTATTGAGGAAATTAATTTTGTTAGATTTAAAATATTTTATTATGGATTCAAGGTTATGTTTATGCAATGGCATTAAGTTAAATAAATTATGATTTTCTATTTGATGCTTTCCACATCCAATGTGTAAAAGGGATTCATAGGAGGCTTTCTAGCTTTTTGTTTCAGGGACACTTTTAGCTTCTATTTTGAATCAGCCGTTATAACTCACTGTAACTTTTCTATTTGAACCTTTAATCAACTACTTTAAAAGGAATTGTCAAGAGGTTTTTCTTGTTTTTGTACGAGTATTGGTTACACTTTCAGCTTCAATTTGCATCATCCAGATATTCTGTTTGACAACTGTGGTTCCTGTAATTTTGCTAAACTAAGTTTGGCTCAAATGGCATGTATGATAGTGACTTAACATTCTATTAATGAATATTTTAAGCGCTGATATCATGGATGTCTGGCTGTGAAGGGGATTGTTGCAATTGAAAACTATAAGTGTATTTGATCATCACACAAAGACTACAAAATCTCTTCACAATCCAAGTCAGAGGAGGGTGAGCTGGTTTCAGACTACTGCTCAGTTTACATTCCAGATTGTATATGTACTTAATCAATCAATCAAAATATTAGTAAATCAAACAATATAAATATAAGCTGTAAAATTAAGATATATTAGAATAAGATATTAGTTAGAATTGTTATTTCTTGTATATATTTTGTTTATATTTATATCTTTTATTATTAACATTTGCTTCACAACAGCTTTTATCATTCCTTTGTTTTTTTTTTTCTATTAATGCGAATTTTTGTCAATGTATAGCTTGATTATCCACCACTATAACTCTTTTGAATTTATGCCCAGTGTATCCTTAATTCATTGAAGACTACCCTAAAATTATGTCTTATGCCATTAGTCACTAATATTTGCTCCATGTTGGCTATTGTATCAATTTTTGAAATTATAATCCGACACACTGTTCTCCTGCACTCATAGAAAAACGTACTGTGAAAGGTTAGACTGATGTCACTTCCAGGACTTAAATTTCATATGAACTGTACAATAGATTGTTATATTGAAAAGTGATACAAAATTAGTGCTATCAGCTTGTTTGGCAAACATGCAGTTTTGGGACAGTTTTCCATTAGTAAAATCCTTTCTGAAATTGAACATATTAAAAAGGGTGTCTTATTAGTTATCAGTTATACTATATTAAGATTGTACCTTATTTAGAAACTTCGCCAAGGTATAAAAGGGATATTTGCCCAATAAGTTTTACCCCCTCAGACAGCTAATGATCAAGGGAGATATTTGAATTTGGCAGTTTGCCTGTGGCATTCCAACTCTTCATTTACAACTAGGATATAATTATTTCAAAATATACTGTCAATTGGCACACACTGAAAATTTTTCAATGAATGAGATATTTCGACTGATTTATACACTCTGTTTTTTTATACTTTATTATAATGTGTTCAAGCTATCAGTTGCACTTGTGCCTTCAAGATCATTTTAATACACACGATTTCAATAGAAAATCTATAAAATTAACAATGGCTTTTTCAAATTGTCCAGGTTAAAAGCTGAACAATATTGTACCAATCTATTCTAATTCAAGGAGGTTTTCTAACTTTTGTAATAGATATCAAAATCATACTACTATCCCATTTATTTTTTTGTTTTCTGATATTGGACAGGAAATTGCAAATATGCAAATAGGAGCTTGTGTTTTGTGTTACACATACAAATGTTAGAAAAAATCTTTAGAATACAGCTTGCTTATTTCCTTTTACTCAAATACAGTTGCCATTGTACACAATTTGAAATTGTATAATTATGAGATTTTTTATGAATCATAGGAATAAGATTTGGCAAGTGAATATGCTTTTAGAGATCAGTAATCTGTGGCAGGCCATGGACCTCCAACTACTTGTCTTTTATCAACTGTGATTTTCTTAGTATTAACAGTAAACTACTGTATATTATAATGCATTCCATATAGAGGTACTTAACTCTTGCCTTCAGACATATTAGAATTATATATTTAAACAGGTTTTTTTATTAAAGGGATTGTAAAGAGGTTTGCTAAATTCGTCACGTGTATCAGGGATACTGATAGCATCAATTTGCACTATTCCAATTTTCAGTCAAACGTCTGTTTTAAAAATTAGAGTGTACGATAATCGCATAATATGCTTTATCACTTAATATCAGTGACATCATCGAACACTCTTATTTATTATTATTACACAGATGTCTGATTGAAAATTGGAATGGTGCAAATTGATGGTATTGGTGTCCCTGATACGCAAACAAAATTCAGAAAACCTCTAAATCCCTGTAAGAAATATAATATTTTATAATTGTATATTATGTAATCTTATAACATAGCTCATATATAATAAAGTATTCTTCTTATTATTTCTCTATCCCTTCTGTGGCTGGGTGATTGTTCAGTAAAATTATTGATGGTCCAAGCTCATTTTGGCATAAGTTGAAGTAGTATCTGCAGGATTTTCCCTAACTGCGCAAACAATACACTCTCACTACAGGTTACACCTACATGCCTGTGCCTGTACTTTCGTAAAATTACTGCAATACACTAACCTAAAAATGCCTAAAGTTTTGCAAGTAGTAGGGGCTGCCATGGAATAGTAACAAGTCATTTGTGGACAATATAAGGGGGCCTCTTGTGCTACAAGCTTTGCACTGTAATCTAACAAGATCAGGTAATTGCTGACTGGTAACAAATTGGTCACAAGAAAATTTCTTGAAAATGAAGGACTTAAATCCGACATTTTAAGCAATTTGAAAAAGTATTCTACGTGCATATTTCTACCAAATAGTTTTTCATTTTTGCTGCCTTTATAACAGATTGTGATCTGGAATCTTGAACCATGAAGAGTTATAAACCTCAATTTTGTAGTGAATGTTTCACTATTGATGACAACACCGTCAATTAAAATCCAATTTATCACCAAAATCAACTTAAATCTAATAAATCAACTAAAAACTAATAAATCAAGAATCATATTAAATAAATCTGAACAAGTAGGACTACTTGTTATTTGGTAATTTAAAAGGCATGCCAGTCTCTTAATTAAATAGGACTGAGATAGTCTCTACATTGTTTAAATAATTTCAACTAACCATTAAAACCTGAAATACTAGTTACGTTTTGAACTATAACTGTGAGTTATTTGGTTACGTTTCTTAAAAACGCAATTAACGCAAAAACTGTAGTTTATATTAAGTGATGAACGTTCAAGTGCGTGATATTTTGGCGAGTTTGTTAGCTCCAGTTGTGAATGTCATTAATGGTTACTGACATGTGAAAAGTTGAACAAAGTTTTCTTGTCGTATTTGTTTACATGTAAAGTGAAAAGAAATGTAAAGGATTTGTTGACATTATGCCTGTTTGGAAACCTGATTGCTTTAGGGGATCCCTTTACGAGCCTTGTAAGTAGCACAAAAATTAACAGTTTTCAATTTCATTCATATGAATTTTATTTATAAAGAAAAAAATCCATTTATCTGAGAGACGTGCTCTTTGCAGATGAAAATTGGTATGATGTGATGCTGGATTGCCATTACTAACGACATGTTTAATTTTTTTGCCTTTGAATACTGTTCATTCACAATCAGTGAACATTTTGCAACAATGTATGTCAATACTTAATTCTTAATGTAAATATCAACTGCACATTGATACTAAATACAACAAAGTAATATTCATTATAGGACATCAGTAATGATAATCTTTTTCTATTAATGCAATTCAAATCAAAAGAGGTTTTGCTAACCTTTCTGTTTGTATCTCAAGAGGGTTTTAGCTCCCATTTTCATCATCCAGATTTCCAGTCCTACATCTGTGGTTCCTGTTATTCCAGGGAATTCGCTCAGATTATGAAGTCACCATAAATTACACTATATGGCTGGAATGGTATTCTGTAAACTTATTATTTCAAATTGGATCGATTTTTTATTTGTCATCTTATTTCACTAATTCCCTAGCTAAATTGTTTATTTGCGGTAGCCTACATTTTTTTATTACATCTATCTTATATCATAGAGATATGCATAATATACAATTACTATAATGAATATTTTCACTGTTAAAATAGTGCTCAATACATCAATTACATCAGTAACAAGTTCAGTTTTCAAGTTCAGTTTTGACATTTTTAATCCTCAAGTATACAACTACATCAAAATTTACAAATAGAAAAACACATAACAGAATTATACAACTAAAAGTTACTTATATATACATTTCATACAACTGCATACACAAATAGGCTATACAAACATATATCAGAATTATACAACTAAATATCAAAATGCACATATATACAATTACATACACAAATATACAACTAATATACAACCACGTACCAACAGGTAAAATACAAAATTAAAATTATAATCTGGATGTATTGTACATTTTTATATTGTGAATATCCTACTCCTGATTGACCAGATTGACCACAGAACTACTAGGCGTGAAATTTATCCAAATATGTAAAAAGGAGCAATTAAAATCATAGAGGTCACTCCAGATATTCACTCTGGAATACAAATTGGGTTTTTATCATGCGACTAAATTTTATTTCCTTACGCCCAAAGGGCAACTCTGTTAGCTGTTGTTCAAATAGTCATTGTCATCTTAGAAAGTAAAATGTTTATCTTTATTTAATGAAAAAATCAAGCTGTCTCAGAGCTTCATGAATATTCTGTATTCAGTTGAAGATGTAAAGAAAACCATGTCATGTGCATTGTCAGGACAATGGCGGTCGCAAGATCATTAATTTGCACAGCTGAATGGCTACACACAATTGATCCCTCATATCTACATCAAAGACATGCAAACAAAAACTAAATTACTTTCAAGAGGGAAAGCTTATATCATGGAAATAAAAGTTTGTCCTAGTTTTTCCCACTACCCACACAGTACTAAAATGTCATTTTATGAAACTTTATGCATAACATATTAACCAACTGATAGAGCTCAACTTTTTTCTATATCAATGTTCAGAATCAAAAGCCAATAGACAACAGATTTAAGGTAACTTATTAGAAGATTTTGTTCCTATATCAAGATTAAAACTGTCAGTATTTGTATAGAAATGGGAGTTAACTTTTTTTTAGGACACTGATACAGGGATATTCCAAATTTATTGCTAATATTTGATTTACATTTAAAAGTATGTGGGGAAGAATATGCTGGCTTATATTATTACGTAGATTCAATTTCAAAGTAAAAACTTCACATTTTAACAAAAATGCCAATTTCAGCAAGTTTTTAAAAGACAGATATTAATAGAGACCTGTCAAAGCATGGCAACTGAACATAAGACAATTGACATCTTGTAAACCGATACAGGGTCAAACTATTCCAAAAGAAACATACTTTATGTTGATAAGACAATAATCCCCATTCTTCTTCATGATAATAAACATCTGATAGAAGAATCTTGTTACTAGTAATTGTGTTATCGGAACATCTAATCAGTTGTTAATCAACATACCTAGTAAAACATACTTCTAATATGTCAGACTAGAATAATAGACAACTTGTTAAGTACTAAACTACTGTCATAACGGTACTAGTCTTCTTACCAATATGACATTAACTTTATCTGTAGTTAAAGGAAAAATTATACTAAATCGGAAAGAAGGTAAATTGTTTTTTTAACTTAATTTTGCTGATTACTTTTATGTGAATAAGAAAGCTGTTTCAAAATAGCATTGATAGTCTAAGAATGACTTTGTGTTGATCAAGGTATGTACAGAGGCACATATCATTTTGAAATTTGCTTTTACAGGGGGCAATTTTCACCTGAGTTTCTGTTCAAATTTCTTGTAGGAAAGTGTGTAAATTTATACATGAACACTTTCTTTTATCAACACAAAGTGATTCTAAATCTATGACTAGCATTACTATTAAATAATAATTGGTATAATTTATCTTACAGAGGAAAAAACTTATGTATATTAGTGTATGTAGAGGCAACTGTGTAGTGCATTATTAGATGATATTCTTAGCTACTGTTTGATGCAATTTGGGGTCATAGACTATTTTCTTGAAATCATCCAGATATGTTTTCAGAGTAGCCTAACATTATGAGCAAGTGAACCTTCCCATAGGGAAGCAGAATTCTATTGCAGTGTAATTTCAGGCATTTTTTTTCACTAATATGAGATGATTTCATTGTTAATGATCTTCACAAACGAGCTTCATTATCGTTTTACAGAAAAATTCACATTGGATATATTTAAATACTGTTAATACTGTTAATATTTTACATAATGATAGTATTTCAGTTATCATGTCCCCAGTAGTTGATTTGCCCTACATCAAAGATAATTTTTAACAAGAAATATGTATGCTAACTGAGTAACATGATATCTTAATGTAACATCCAGTGTTTTTAGTTTCTAACATAACATAGGTTAACGAATAGCTTCATGACAATTCAGTACATATATTTCTACAGTATATTTACTTCTGCAGATTCTACTGTCTGCTGCCAACTTTTAAAAGCATTGTAATGATATACAGAAATGTTCTTATAGCCCCAGATTTGAAAAGCACAATTTTTCAAATTTTCTTTTCTAGAATATAGTGAATTTCATTAAATTTTTATAATTTTAGATTTCTCTTAAAAAAATTGCAAAAATTAATATTCATGAGTTTATTGGATATTAATATATTTTATTTATTTCTTGAATATAGTTGTCCCAGTTCTCCTTCCAGATGTATACTCTTCTTGTCTCTTATCAAGTCTTCTACTTATTTTAGGCACAAGTGACTTCTCCCTCATGAACTAGCCAACTACCATGGTTGTTGCTTTCAGGGCTTTTTTTTTACCTGCATACTTTTAATTAACCTCCTTGGGTGTGAAAACAGTCTAAATATATCATACATTTTTGCTCAATTACAGGAGAACTAATCTGTGCAGTGAAATGGATAGCTGAAAATAAACTTTAATCAGTTATTAAAGCAATATTTAGACAACTGTATTCTTTTAAATTTTCAATGAAATAATATTAATAACAGAAGAAAAGTCAATATCTGTAATACTGTTCCACGTTATTAGATAGTTACCAATAATTGACAGTTGTCTATTTTTCTTTTTTGTATAAACAATATTTATTTACATAATATGATTAGGGAACGGGCTTTCGCCTATAGTACCCTCTCCTTAAAATACATTACATAAAAGTTGTCTATGTCACCCAGCCTTAGGATAAAAGAGGATAACCATTGATATTTAAACTTCAGGTACTGTAAACTGAAAGGATATTTATTCATGCTCTGCTTACTTGTACAAATTTGACATACATACAAAAAGAGTATCCAACTGAGACTAATTATTTTTTCTTTTGACAAAATTTGCATCTTATTCTTTTCTTATACTCAGCGTCTTGTCTGATCTCCGGCAGGCAATATGGGCAAGAAATTAACAGAGTTCTACAAACTGTGATCAACTAAATATTCATAAATGAGTACAATCTCTTACAGAAAAACAGAAAATGAAACATCAAGATCTACATTCTATTCAGATTGTACTTAAAAATATATCTCCTCTCATATTTCTGTTTTTTTCTGCTTACAGATCCAGTGAATTTAAACAGTGTTGGTACTGATAGCGGTATCAATGGCAGTCAAGAAATTGATGGTAAGTTCAAAAACTTTTCTTATCCAATAATTATAATTTGTTTATTGTTATTGCATAAGGGCTTTTAAGTTGTGCCTTACTGACAAGTCTAGAAGACATTTTTTATTAAGTAATGGTTAATATGAATTTATACAAGCATATCATTTGAATACTTTTGTATTCAGATTATATATAACAATAATTATTTTCTTTAGAAGAACGAAAAGGAGTATCATTTGTTGAATTACAAAAGAAAGAAGGATGTGGTTTAGGACTAACTGTATCAGGTAAGATTTTATTTATTAATAACTTGATAAATTAATTTTACTAAATAGAAACATAAAGTTTAAATCTCTTAACTTGAGGCTTGAGGTACATAACTGTTTCTCTAGAACAGCAAGTTTAATATAAAATAAGACTGCACAGATTTTGAAATAAAAACTAGTTTTAATAACGCTTTACAAGGTGGTTAATTTACTTATGATGTTCAAAAATATTTTCTGAATACTGTTTAAAATGCAAATGTTTCTGTCTCTGAATCTTTAAAAGCTAAATCTGTATCGTAAAACACCCAATTTCCACTGAAATGTTTCAGGAGGTACAGACAAAGGTTGTCTAGCTCAGATATCACATTTACGACCTGGTGGAATAGCTCATAGGTAAGTACCGATTTTGAACTATTCATGAAGAAGAGTTTTAGTCTGGTTTCGTCTGTGGCAGAGCTGTTGATATATATTTTTTTACCCAATCAGATTTTCAACAACCAATGAAATCTGATCTCATTTTAATTTAATGATGGTCTTTGATTCTATTCTCGTCTCATAGAAGTGGAAATCTTACATAAATCAAGTCATGTATAATAGGCATAAATAACTTGGAACAGACAATTGGATATATTAGGATCAATACATACTCAATACATAATGTTCATGAAAACTGCATTTAGCATTTAAAAGAAATTGTGTCCAAGTGTTATTAATTTGATTATAAGAATATAGACAGTAGTGTTAGATATTATCATTTCATCTATTGTTATTATATATACCCTAATGTTCTATCCAATTATCATTCATGGAATTATTGTACATATTTATTATGTAATTTTACTCTAGCCTAATATGATGACCTTTCAAACTCAACCCCTCCTATCTGTTAACTTTACTAATGCTCTTTAATGTCACATTCATATCTCTTTTTATGATAAATACATATTACTAGTTTAAATAGATATTATATTGGAAAGTTAAATAACTTGATCAGAATTCAGGATGAGTGAGATTACTCCTATTTCCTATCATATCCTTGACTGGTAATTGCACGATAGAGCTAACATGCAGCTCTAAAGAATTTGGACTTTTGACAAGATGTATAAACTTATTGGTTAACAATGTGAAACTTGAGCCATGAGTTGCAAAAGTAAGCAAATCTTGCTCTTGTGACTTGTAACATATTTGCAAGTATCTAGTATGTATTTTTTAAGTTTAATTCAATATTGACAGGGTAAACCTGACAGACTGACAGTATCTGAAAGTAACTATTTTTTCAATGACTTCTTCTCTACACTAGCAACTGGTGGAAGCAGAGAGAATCTGATAAATTGCTTGATTTTGTTAACCTCTCAGTTCTTGCCACTTTCTCAAGAAAAAAACTATATCTTTTTTACCTGAGCAATTGGAATCTGCGATCAACAAGTTGATTGCAGTTGCTTGTAATCAATATATTTCTCAAATACTTATTACTTTATTTATAGATCTGATTCATTAGCTGTTGGTGATATTATTATATCAGTTAATGGTATTCGTACAGCCAATCTGAAACATGATGAAATTATCAATCTATTGAAAAATGCAGAAGAAATGATAATATTAGAGATAGAATATGAACTGCCCGAAGCAGGTAACATCGAGGATACTTTCTTATGAAGTCTGAATTTTATTGATGCCCTTCGTTACCTTACTTGCTCCAAAAGTTGTACTTAATAAGTCCAAATTTTGCAAGTCTGCCTCCTAATTTCTTACCAAAATTTCATGTTTTCTAGCTTTTACATTCATTGATAACTTGAAATGAGCTCTTGCTACATTTGGTAGATTTTACAATCATCACTCATATGAAATGAGTTATTATTCTAGCAATAGCTCAAAAGCAATATCTGGATAAGAAAGATATTTTTTCCCCAGTCTGTTTGAAGTTTAGAAGTGTCCAGTCTTACATTCAACATTCAGCGCATTTTTTAACTATCAATTATTATCATGTCTCAAACATTTAGTTGATTTGATTTCAGCGTTAAGGGCTCATTCTGTCCATTGTAAATGTCAAGATGTGACGTTACCTAAAGAAGGTACAGGGTTTGGTTTTCTCTTACGAGGTGGAATGTTTATTGATACTATGAAAGCTCATCCTCTGATGGTAACCAATATACGACCTGGTGGACCAGCAGATAGGTTAGTAAATATGTATTGCTGATAATTTTGTGGATTTTAGATTAATTTATTCTTTGTGATTTCCCGATGAAGGGATAGGCTTGCCATTTTTTGACCAATTATACTTTAATATCAAAAACGTGAATTTTTTAGCTAATCCAATCAGTAATAGCGTTCACAGCTCACTGTCGAAATTTGACATCAAATGCATGTTTTTCCAGAAAAGTGTTTGAAAGTTAAAAAGACGAGTTGTCTTTTTATGAGACTCTGCCATATACAGAAAAGATATCTTTATAATGTGGATATGATATGGACAATTTATGACAAATATTGCCTAAAGTTTGGATATAGACTGTTTCACAAGTAAACTCTTGATATTTGTATAAACTTGTATATTATAGAGAAGGATCAATAAAAGAAGGAGATAGAATAATAGCTATGAATGGATATAGAGTAACACATCTTAGTTTGATGGAAACTATGACATTAATACACCAAGTAGAACAAGAGGCTACGTTCAGTGTGGAATATGATGTCTCATTCATGGGTACGGTTCACTTTCTTTTTATCAAGCAAAATGTCAGCTGTGTTTTGTTGATATTGCCCACTAAATGTATAACTGCCGTGGAAGGATAGACTTTTTAAAAATCTGTTCAATCTGCAAAATTATCTGGTGTCTTGAGTTTGAGCTATATCTTTATATATAGCACTCTATATTCTAAATATTTTCCCTAGAGAGAGTCCCTGTTTTGGTTCAGCTGTTCTATTTTAATGTATTATAATGGAAGTACCTGAATATTATGGTCACTAAGAATTTCCACTACATCCATTTTCAGAAGAAGTACAGAATGCTAATGGTCCTATACTAGTAGAAATAGATAAAATACCTGGTACAGCACTGGGTATAATGCTATCACAGAGTGCTTATCTTGGGAGACGGTGTGTCTGTGTGGATTGTGTTCATTCTATGAGTGTAGCTGATAGGTAAGTTATTAAATATAGAAAATATAAGAATAATGTCCATGGTCCAAGATAGTCTTTTCAAACCGTTTTAGATTTAGCCTCATGATCAGTTATTTTAGAATAATGGGGATTAAGTATGTGAGCTCCATTGCAAAGTGAAAATAGGTGTTCTAGAAGTGAAAACACAAGTTATCTCACTATTAAACTGCCCCAATAAGACTAGTGACATTGAATGATCCACCTGCAAATGAAAGGTTTATTTGGTTCAAAGATCATTTCCAATTCTTAATTTCCACTAGCCCTGAATTGTTTTGTATTTTCTTTTCTTGCCATGTCTAAATAATGCTCCTGCTTATTTCAGATGTGGTGCAATTCATGAAGGTGATCATATTTTATCAATAGATGGAGCTAGTGTAGAACATATGTCTGTTGCCGAGGCAACCCAGCTGTTGAAGTCAGGTAACCAGGAACAGATTCGACTGGAAATATTACCGGTGTCTCACTTACAACATCAAGCTCACAGAGAATTTATGTCAAAGAATGGTGAGAATTTCCTCTCAAAGCTCCTGGTACTTAAAAATCTTTTAAGCATACTCTTCTGCTAGTCTTGGTGTTTTCTTTTTTTAGTGATTTTGGAATTGGGATTAATTGTGAAAGTTATTTAGATAAATATTTGAATATTTTTGACTTATTTAAATCATTTTTTAAATGAAAGGAAGGAAAAGATATTCCAAAAAAATATTATAATCTAGGTTATGTGGAAAGGTATGCAGAGTTGACAAATCAGAGTGGTATTCGAGGTGGAAGATTAACCTCATGGAAACAAGACCAAGAGGCCAATACATGTTGCTAAGGAAACTTCCAAATTAACAATCAAACGTGAAGCAACACATCCTACTTTTAAATGTTTTCTTACGCTTATTTGGTTTAAAGTTCAGCTTTATAGTCTGTTGCTAAGGTTAATGGATTATATTTTGCTTTATCAAATATTGCATGGTAGCTTGCTGGTTATCTATTTTTATTTAAAAGTTTATTGGATTTGAACTTTGATGGGCATGCTTTCTTTAAAGTAGGGCATTGTGAGCAGGATTTTGTTTGAATTGAAGGTTTATGTGCACTATAATTTCATTCCAGTTCTATTGCCTGCACATTCTACTGCTACCTTGCCTTCTATATCTCCTTCCTCTTCCTCAACCACTGGTTTCGGTACTATGCCTACTGCTGGCTTTACACGCTCTGCTCTGAGTGTAGCTAATCAGTTTGGTACTATTAGTTCAAGGGGCTCTGGTAGAAGCAAGAGAAACTGGATTCGTCCTGTGGACAGAATACCTTCATCATGTTGTAAGTTTTTATTCATTTTTAAAAGATAATTTCCCTTATTGCACACTGCATGCTATTTTTTCATCTTATTCCAATATCAATACCTTCAACAACTATTTATATTGAATTTTTGTAAATTGGTTTCCATATCAATTATAATAGCTAAAACTGAATTGTTATTTATGTGTTTCAGTATTGCTGGCATATCCATATCTAAACTGATATAGTATTGCTGGCATATCCATATCTAAACTGAATTGTTATTAATGTGTTTCAGTATTGCTGGCATATCCATATCTAAACTGAATTGCTATTAATGTGTTTCGGTATTTCTGGCATATCGATATCTAAACTGAATTTCTATTATTGTGTTTCAGTATCTATAGCATCAGCAGCTATCTTAAACTGAATTGTTATTAATGTGTTTCGGTATTTCTGGCATATCGATATCTAAACTGAATTGCTATTATTGTGTTTCAGTATCTATAGCATCAGCAGCTATCTTAAACTGAATTGTTATTAATGTGTTTCAGTATCTATAGCATCAGCAGCTATCTTAAACTGAATTGTTATTTATGTGTTTCAGTATTGCTGGCATATCCATATCTAAACTGAATTGTTATTAATGTGTTTCGGTATTGCTGGCATACCCATACCTAAACTGAATTGTTATTATTGTGTTCCAGTATCTATAGCATCAGCAGCTATCTTAAACTGAATTGTTATTAATGTGTTTCAGTATCTATAGCATCAGCAGCTATCTTAAACTGAATTGTTATTAATATGTTTCGGTATTTCTGGCATATCCATATTTTTAACTGAATTGTTATTAATGTGTTTCAGTATCTATAGCATCAGCAGCTATCTTAAACTGAATTGTTATTATTGTGTTCCAGTATCTATAGCGTCAGCAGCTATCTTAACTGAATTGTTATTTATGTGTTTCAGTATTGCTGGCATATCCATATCTAAACTGAATTGTTATTAATGTGTTTCGGTATTTCTGGCATATCCATATCTAAACTGAATTGTTATTATTGTGTTCCAGTATCTATAGCATCAGCAGCTATCTTAAACTGAATTGTTATTATTGTGTTTCAGTATCTATAGCATCAGCAGCTATCTTAAACTGAATTGTTATTGTTGTGTTTCAGTATCTATAGCATCAGCAGCTACATGTCAGTCAGTATTATTGAATAATAATCAAGTCTGTCACCCAGAAACCACAGAAGTTATAGTTTTCTCTGATCATCGTGGTATAGGTCTGACATTAGATGGTGGTGTCTTTTCTACTACTATACTCACTGAACCACCAATAGTTGCTCAAATAGAACATAATAGTGCTGTAGAAAAGTATGTATTTATGACTTTTTACAAGACACTTGTACTTTTACATATTTTGTACCTATACCTTCTTTGCTTATGCTGAAGATTCACTCCAGTTTTTTGACAATATTACTACATTTCTTGACTGTCTATGGTTGTTTTTGTGTTGAAATAGGTGTGGTTTAATACAAGTTGGTGATAGAATATTATCTGTTAATGGTGTGGATATAGCAGATAAATCATTAGAAGAAGTCACTCTAATGTTACGTGACTCAAGACCAAGATGTGTGTTAGAAATAGAATTTGATGTTACAGGTAGTTTAAATTGTTTTGACTGTCTAATTTTAAACATGTATATGAGTAAATACATTCATTTGTTCTCACTGATAAATTTATTTTATAGAATTAATTGGAGATTTCAGGTCGAGTCAAATAATCAAATCAGAAGTGTCCCAGTCAAAATGAGTGATGCACTCATGTCCAGAAATTGATAAACTACTAGCAACTGTGAACAACTGTTTGGTTGCTGGATTTGACTACTCAGTTCAATAACAACATCCAATGTTTTCGAGAAGCAGAACACAAGCAACTGGTTGTAACTGTAAATTTTTGTCTTCGGTGTACTTACTGTATGTCAACTTAACCCTGAAATTTATTCTTCTAGATTAAAAACGTGTTTTTTAATTATTAATTTCAGAATCAGTAACTATGAGTTCTGGTACCTACTGTGTTAGATTACCAAAACCTACCGGTGGACTTGGTTTTACTATAAATGGTAAGTAACAATATACATTTATTCCTTCTTGACATATATGGACATGATAATGTCACTAAGACAGTCTTTAGAGAGTTCTTAGTCCAGAGTGGTAAAAAATTCTTGATTGAAACTTTTGCCACATTGTCCCTTCAACATGTCCTAAATTATTGTGTATTTCTACCCTGTTTAACTATGGCCAGATTATTTAATATCCAGTATATTCATTCCCTTTTTTATTTTTGTATTTTAGCTCCTTTGAGAAGAAATTCGGGAGATCCATTAGTAATAACTAATGTAAGAAAAGGCAGTGTTGCATACAGGTGGGTTAACTTCATTCTAGATGTGAATGATGTGACTTTAATCCATTCTTCCATGGATAATGTGTTGTTATTATTGCTAGGTTTTAGCATGTTTGATTTCAGAATCTGTTTTATTATAGGTGTGGTTCTATTCAGCCCGGTGATCATCTGTTAGCTATCAATGATATTAAAACTATCAACTGTACTGTAGAAGACGCTGCACATTTACTACAAACAGCTGATGATATTATAAAGTTAAAAATCAAACGAGAAGACCCATATACTGGTAAATATTCTTATTTATATGCCAACACTTCTTATGCCGAAAGTGAATGCAAAAAGAAACTACATTACAGATTATATCTGGGAATCATTGATCATATTAACTGAACTTGTTTCAATTGATCTCATGATGATGATGATATTTTTCATTTCTATACTTTAGTTCATTTCATTATGTAGTTCATTTCCTTTCATGGTTCATTTTATTTTGTGGTTAATTTCATTTCATTTGTATTTCCAGTTGAATGTAGTTCAGATAGTGTGACATATACAGTAGAATTACAGAGATTTGGTGGACCATTAGGTATAACTATATCTGGTACAGAAGACCCAATGGATAATATCTTTATCTCAGATTTAATACTGGGTGGTTTAGCTGAAAGGTTAGTATTATTCTTTAAATTAGTTTTTATACGCCCACACGTAAGTAGGGGCGTATATTGTGGTTGCCCCTGTCGGTCCGTCCGTATGTTCACATTTACCTCGTGCTCACTCTACAAGCTACAATTCTCTATAGATTCTTTTTATCTTTTGTATTTGTGTCAATATCATTATGAAGATGTTCACTATTGAATTTGCTGATGATTCAATGATTTTCTTTAGAGATATCGCATAAAATTCTGATATCATGTTCGTTTTTTTTTCTCACTTTTTTGACTCGTGCTCACTCTACAGGCTACAATTCTCTATGGATTCTTTTTATCTTTTGTATTTGTGTCAATATCATTATGAAGATGTTCACTATTGAATTTGCTGATGATTCAATGATTTTCTTTAGAGATATCGCATAAAATTCTGATATCATGTTCGTTTTTTTTTCTCACTTTTTTGACTCGTGCTCACTCTACAGGCTACAATTCTCTATGGATTCTTTTTATCTTTTGTATTTGTGTCAATATCATTATGAAGATGTGCACTATTGAATTTGGTGAGGATCCGATCGATTTTCTTTAGAGATATCGCATAAAACTCTGATATCGTGTTTTTTCACTTTTTTGGCTAGTGCTCACTCTACAGGCTATGATATAGAGTTTGTTTTACAGTTCACATTTAGCTCTTTATCAAGCTACTGGTGGGCGTATACGCTTGCGAGACTTGCCGCAAGCCTATGTTTACATGTTTGACTGAGATAAGGATAATTTACTTAATTTTGCAATGTGCTTTGTGATTTTGTAAATGGAGCTTTTATTAAGGCTTAGGCTGATTAAAACAGTGTGTCAGTCATATTTTTTTATTTTTGTCATTCTTTTATTGAAATCTTGCACATGCATACTTTAAGTCAATATGAAACTCTATGTTACTTTGCCACACATCGGACAGTGATGTATGTTTGATTAGGATGACATTGGAAAACTGACTAGTCAATCATATGATAAATTGTGGCTGTGCATGAGCAAATGTCACCCCACATTTTGAAATCAGAACTGTTATGCATACTATGTACTTTCTGGCTTTTGATAGTCCAAAACAGTTGAATGTTTATTTCTAATCTGTTAGGACTGGAGCTATAAGAGTAGGAGACAATCTACTAGCTATCAATGGCAGATCAACTAAATATAAACGCTTATCAGAGGCTATTCAGATGTTACAGAATGCAGGAGAAGTGGTCACTTTGAAAATTTCAAGAAAGGTTTCAGATAGTAAGGGTAATGGTAAGTTTTTGTTGTTTTAAACATTTCTGATTCAACTGTCATATGAAAAGGATTTTCTCTTCTTCAATAAAAAATTGCCAAATGAAAAACAAGGTTTTTCATCAAAACAAGTTTTTCATCAAAACAAAGTCAGTTAACAAGCAAGAGAACATCCACTGGTGGATAGCATAATTATGAATGAACTTCACATGCAGGTTTGGATTCTTTATCATAAATACATAATAACATTTAGAATTTCTACCCATATGTTTGGCTAGTCCCCTATTTTCCTTCTGGTCTATTTGGAATAACTGAACAAGAAATTCTTAAAAGACTTCCTGGTAGTGACAAAGTGCAAAGAACCAGATAATTAGAATTTACTCTCAGGTGGTAAAGCCAATATTAAAATAATTATGTCAAGGAGAGGCTCTGTCCTAGATTCATAATACATTTAGTACTGTAATGTACACATAATTACTATTCTCTTGCAGGAAATCAAGGGAAAACTCAAATTGAACAGGTAAAGTTAGTTCCCTTTTAAACATTTATCTTTTCAAGTGAAATACTTGTATTTATTTTGCTCAACTATACGACCATTTATTTTCTCTTTTGAATGGAAACTTATTGTTTTCATGTTAATTATTTGTTTTTAAACTGAATGTTTGTTTTCAGAATAATAATAATTCTAATCAGAGTGAAATTGGTAAACCACTAACACAGAGTACAGGATTGGACAGTGCTCTGGAGTCATGGGATAGTTCTGGACCAGAAATGGGCAGTGTTCATCACAACCAATCCAAATTATCTTCTTCTAGACCTAAAGTTCCAGAGAAAAGACGCAAATCAGGTATAATACCTTTTTCAATAGATTAATTTCAGGGGGCAAATCAAGGTAATACAGGGCCAAGGTTATTTCTCTCGTGGTAATCGAGGATCAAAGTCACTTTTTTTATTTTTATAGAGGGTCAAGGTCGCTTTTCTTATATTAATAGAGGGTCAAGGTCGCTTTTCTTATATTTAATCTAGGGTTAAGGTCGCTTTTCTTATATTTAATCTAGGGTCAAGGTCGCTTTTCTTATATTAATAGAGGGTCAAGGTCTCTTCATGGTAATTGAGGGTCATGGTTGCTTCTATGGTGATCAAGGGTCAAGGTTGCTTCTCTTATAGTAATTAAGTGTCTAGGTGGACAATTTATGTAAATATTTCAGTGATTTTGACCTATCATGACCTACTATGAGTAACTTTTACCTGATATGTAAAATAGGAGCAAAGTTTTTGGGTCCTGCTTTGCCATTTAGTTTTAGATTTAAGGAAATGAGAATGGACTTGAAAGTGCTGGCTGTCCCTTCAGGCAGATTAAAACTTACGGCACTGTTAATATTCTTAGGGATAACATGTAATTTTTTTTTAGATTACGTTCGGCCATTTTCTGGTGAGTCAAGTAATGATGCTGAAGGAAGTGGAGAGGGTTTAGCTGATTTACAGATGTCAGACGGCGAATGGGACAACCACTCAGCTAGTAACCATAGTTACTCCAGTAGCAACCCAGAAGATGATTGGGTTGGCACTTTTGAAGATTTCATGCATGGAACAGGATCAGAGATGCTGAAGCAGATTGGCTTAAGTTTGAGGGACCGTAGCACTAGTAGCTTGGACCGTAGGTCGAGAGCATCTGAACCTAATGATCGTTATGTGAGATCCAAGAGTACAGGCAGATTTGGAAGAAGTGCTATTTCTCATGATTCTCTCAGTATTCATACTCAAATGTCTCAAGCCAACAATTCTAAAACTGGTAATAAATCAACCAGTGAACATGTACAAACTATATTTACCCCAACACCTATTCAGTTACACCGAGTTAAGGTGGTGAAGAAGGCCAGTGAGGAATATGGGTTTGGGTTATCAGATGGCATGTATGAGAAAGGTGTTTTTATCAGTGGTATTAAACCAGCTAGTCCTGCCTCTAAGGCTGGTTTGAGAGCTTATGACCGAATTTTGCAGGTATGTAATAGTTTCTATGCCTCAAGAAATTTACTAGATTTTCTTTTCTTAATGTTTATTTGTATATGTCTCTAGGTAGTATACTTTACCATTATTAATGTGTTTTGTTTAAGCTTGCTTGTGAAGTCTCTTAATGTCTCAGTTCTCGGAAGAATTTCACACAAGAATGTGGCATTATTTTTTATTAATCATATAAAACTCCCATTAAAATTCAATTTCAATTTTTCAATCCTAAAAAAAAAATCATTACTTGAGTTATGATCTGTGCTATGTTGACTGGAAATAGTATTTGGTCAGAATATTAAAGGACAAAGGCAAATATGTAAGCGTTTTCATCGGTAGCTTATTCTACTCCAACACAATTAATTTAAATCTATCCTGTATTTTAGGTAAATCGTATAAAAACTAAAGATTACAGTTGTCGTCACACTTTACCTCTGATTGCTGAATCTGGTAACAAACTTCATCTTGTAGTATGTCGAAATCCATTGTTACGAAACCGTCCAACTGGCTTACAAGACAGCTCTCTAATTGTGAAGGAAGATAGACTCTATGTGAATGCTTATGATTCAACCTTTAACAGTGACACATCAAATAAAACAGTTTAATTTGTATATAGAATTAACAGCAATATGTATAGTGTAGTTTATGTGTATTGCATGTAGCTACTATTACTGGTTCTTAATCTTGCAGTTTCATTCAGAATATCTGAAGTTATATTTCACAAAAACTTTAAAATTGCCTTCCTTAACCAGCTGATCAAGGGTTGGTTGAGATTTCGGGAGATTTGCACAATTTTTTGTTTTTTGAAGTATGTATGAAAATTACAAAAGGAATGGATTTTATGAACGAATCTTTTAGGTTTCTGTTTTTGAGCTGTTATGATGAGATATATTTCAAAATTACCAAAGCTACAAAAATGAATAGAAAATCAGAACTTCATGGCTTTGTTTGAAGTCTATATAAAATCGCTCGGAATACCCAAATCTTTGCATATTCAATCACAAGATTAGGGCATAAAAATTTGAATTTTTCAGAAATTACCTCTATTTATCATGAGAAGCATGTTTATAGTTATCTTTAAAAATCTTTACCTCATTTTGTCCCGTTTCCCTTTTATTTTATTAGATCAATTATGGATATTGTCTAGAATATCAGGGTAAAACTTTTGTTTGTGTACCAAATGAGGTTAGTGATCTTTTGACTTTGATTTGCATTTCTTTTTAGGTCTAAGCATAAAGTTCTGCAATGTAACTGATACAAGTATTTAGTTATAGAATATTTTTGTTTGGCCTCAATAGCTCAATGTTGTGTTCCGTTCGAAATCATTTAAAGGGCAAGGCAACTTGTTGTTTTTTCGAAAACATTTGATGGGCAAAGCAAGGCAATTTGTTTTGTTCAGATTCATTTCATGTGCTAGGCAACTTATTTTGTTAAGAATCATTTGAAAGGCTATCCTGGCTGTTATTTATTATGAGATTACTAATTTAGATGAGATTATAACTTGACAAAATGTCTTTCATCATCAATTGTTACCTTTAGCCTTTAGAAATTTTTTATAGCAATTGGTTTATAGTTATGCTTTGCAGTTTCATATGTTCATAAATATCATTTACTTGTACAGTTGTCAGAATGTTCCATTTATCAGCTGCCCAGAGCACTTTATGAATGAATACCTTATGTTTGTCTACAATCAAATAAAAATGAACTGTTATAGTGGGGATAAGTAACAAATTATATTATTTTTGCAACAAATTTTTCAAACCTTTTGTTAAAGTTTAAGATATCTAATTGAAGGAAATATCCATTTAATTGCATACAAACCTAATGCAAGAATTAGTCTCCAGCTGATGAATTGAATGATAAGAGAACTGTATGGGTAAAGATAATCATACTCATGTATTATCATATATTATTGGGTTTTTTTCTATCACTGCTGAAATGTCTTAGAGACTCTAAAGTTATAGTTATCATCTGTTATCACTAGATCTCTCTACCTCATTCCTGTTTTCTGGGCAACTTTATTTCTTTTTCCTCTTTTTAACCCTTTGATTGAACACTGAGAGAACACAAAGATCTCCAATGTCTAAAATCCCATATAAATATACACTTGCAGCCTCATATAAGTGAGTTATATATATCTGAACAGCCTGTAATGTCACTTGGAGTTCAGGTTATATGACGTTTTATTTCATTTAAACACACACTTTTAAAATCATCATATTATGATGTAATGGCATCAAAATGTTAATAATACTGTAAAACCGTATTATATATTTAAACCTATATTAAGGTGAATAATTTGTTTTTCACATGTTTAAATGTATTTTTGTCCTCTATTGAGATGTACATTATTTTGTGATTGTTTCTAATCCCAAATAATGTCCCAATAATCACACGATAGATTCAAACCTTTGTTGGTAAATAGGACCGACTTTCATTTCTGGTCTGATCCGTTGACAAGAGTTAAAGAAATCTTCTCTACTTTCGTTCAATATAGTATGGTGACTATTATGTACATTTAGAATGACTCTTCCTGTTTAAGAGAGTCCACAGTGTATCTCGCTGATATTAGACAGATGGAATAGCATAATCAGTAAATAACAGAACTAGCTATGTGAACTCTCGGAAATAGGTGCAGAGTAGTATATAGAAATATGTATTCTACTTCTTACCCATATTTTTTGATTTTTCATTGATCAAGAGAAGATTTCAACTATTCTTTGTTTAAAACCCGTGGGGCCTGTTTCACAATTTGTTAATCAAGATTTAAAGAAATAGAGTAATCTGATTGGTTTATAAAGCTTGATTGACCAATCATATAACAAGATGACTAAAATAATCCCTTGCTAAGTGTTTGTAGAACAGACTCGAGGTTCCCAAACTAGGGTAAACCACAGTTGCCCACAGAGAAGTATCCAAAGAATTGGGGGGCACCTCAAAAAATTATGCCTGCAAGTAGTCCAAATGGATGGGAACCAAGAAGTTGAAATAATATTACAAAAGGAAGTACTTCAAGGTTGATTTAGTTTGGCACCAACACCAACTCTTTGTTATAAATTTGTTTCAAAAATGTTTTCAATTGAGAGGAGTTGCATTTAAAAAAGAACACATCTTTTCTTTCAATATCATTATTTATTGTTAATCATGGCAACCTTGGTGCTTTATATTTGTATCATTTTAAAGATTTCTTTATGTTTTATAGAGTTTATATTAGCCTCTATCATCCAGTCCCTCTTTGTCTATTTTTTGTGTAACTAGTCAGGAGAAGTCTACATGTCAGAGACTAAGTTTGTGTAAGAAAATGCACTTTTCATTTGTTCATATTATCCCAATATGAAAGTTCATCTGCTTTGATGAAATTTTCTCTAATTGCTCATTGGAGCAAGCTAATATAAATGGTCTATCACTGAAATAGTTTTTGAATAAATACTGTATAATTATGACTAAAGTGCTCACACTTTCTTACTATCAATTGAATCTGGAAAATCTTAATTCAACTAGTTTCGTGGTAGATAATTTTTGAACATTGGCAGCTATGTGGGCAAATACTTTAAGTTAAATGCTATTGGAATTGAAAGGTTGATCCATTCATAGAAATACATGTAACCACAAGAAAGTGTTCATTTTGGCCGGATTGGTTAAATATGTAATAAAAACTTAAAGGGATTAGTTGACTTAAAATTTTTTTTACCCTCTGATATAGTTCAAATTTATCTATCCTCTAACATAGAGGAAATATTTAAAAGGGATATTCCCTTTTTTTGTAAAAAGTTTTCATGATCAAAAATGTCAAAAATAATACCTGAAGATATTTTTAAAGTATGCTATTTTTATCTATGTATCTTCTTGATCAAACTTAATTTGTTTTAAAAGGTGGATTAAAAACGGAGAGTACTAATTGTTAATTACACAGTTTGACCTAGTTTTTGGTGTTCGGCTGGATATTATTAGTTGAAACCTTCAGAATACTATTACTCTACATACTATTACTCTACAATTTAGCGTTTATTTTATTTTACTTGTAAAGAAGTTTTCTAACAGCTTCCAAAAAGCATAATGAACTTAAAAACATAATGTTTTTAAATATTAATAAATATTTTTGGGCGTTTAAGAATTAACTCCTGGATTCTTTTAGTTTAAATTTTCAGATATGTTAAAGGGCACATTTCTCCAGATTTTGGTGTATAGTTTTCACAAATTAGAACAAAAATTTTTTTCAAAATACAAAAAAAAGGGGAATATCCATTTAAAGCTGTCTGCTGTTCAATCGATTCTGTTGAATTTTAGACCCCTACCAGCAGTAAAAGTAAATATATAAACCACTAAACCCCTTTAAAGAACACTAGATGTACTGTTATGTAATACATGTTGAATATTTTATTTATTAGTGCTCATAATGGAATAACAACTTAGATTATTCTAAATAATCCCTTTATAGTCAATATATTGACATTAAATTGTAGATAGATGTATATTTTATATTATTTTTAGATTTCTTTGTATTTAGGGATAAGAATCTCTGTTATATGATAATTTATTTGTAGATAAAATAGTCTTTATTTATTTTGTCTTTTGTTATTTACAACCCAAATATCAAATACATTTTCACCATTTTCATATGGTCGTATATTGTTGTCTCCCCTGTCGTCCGTCCGCCGACAATAGGCTTGTGGATAAAATTTGTTTGTGAACACAATAGAGACTACGGTATTTATCTGATTTTAATGAACTTTGGTGAGGTCACAATTCTCTGGTATCCTCTTGTTCAAAGAAAGGAAAGCTGCTTAACAGGATGGAGTAATTACAGGTCAAAACAACCACCCAAAACTATGAAATTTGACACATTCCAAGTTTCAATAAGCTATATATCTTATAACATAACACTTATTTTAATTCTCGGAAAATTACTCAGGTATCCATTGAAGTACTTGTAGATACACAAGGGAAATATATACCCAATTTTGGGGAACTAGGCTTCTATTGCTGAGATCTGTTGTGGCATATATACATGTGGTCCGAAACCTGCCTACTCTAGAAACATCTGATATCGACATAATCTATATTTTTTTTTTTAAATGTCGAAATCAGATTAAACTTACAACTTCCATTGATTTCAGGGCCGGAACGTTGACTGGTGATAGTTGTAAACAAACGTCTCCAATTGATGTCTCTTGCAGATGTGACGGTATCGTGAACTTTAATTTAAATCCAAATTAACGAGGAAGAATACAAATTAAGATGTTGATGTAACAATATAAACTGTTGAACTGTGTGTATAGTAAGAGTAGTATATCGTTCCGATATTCAATGTGATCTAGGTCAAGTTGGAATTTGACAATTTTATGATAAACGATTTTTGAGTTATTGCCCTTGACTTAATAAAATCGTGTCAAAATTTGTTTTTGAACACAAAAGAAACTTACAATACAGATTTTAATGAAATTTAGTGTGATCATTTACATTTGTAACACAATTATGTTAAATTTGGCTTGTGAATACGATACAGGTGGCAGGTTAAAGCCGGAAATTTGGGAAACTGTGTGTGTAAATCAACAATACTTTAGACAAGTTCGATTTTTGACACAGATTGGCGACCGACCTTGATATACTAAAAATTCTTGCTAGGCAAGAAGGCTTGTTCCTAAAGATATAAATGTTGGCAATATTGGACCCATAATTATATGAATGATTTACCCGTAAAATCCCGCATCAGTTTTGACGGCGTATGGTCTCTCAGGCCCCTGTCTCCTCATCCCCTACTCGTTAGTTGTCACTCGCCGGCAACATACATAAAATCTTCTCCAGACTTTGCATGTTTTACAAGAAAAATTAATTTGCCATTTTGCCAAACTGTGAACTTAAGATATATCTCCATGACAATCATTAAGATCTTTAATTAGATCAACTGGGTATGATAAGGTCCTCTCTGATCTCTGTGTTAAATTTTGCTCACGAAATAAAGAATTTAGTTTAAATAAGAGGAAATAAATGGAATTCGTTGAGTCTGGGCTATCGTTCGTTGATAAGTAAATAGGATAAAGTAATTGTTATTAGTGGAACTATCTTTAAGGTAATCCTTTATCGATATTTAGGGAAAGAGATCACATTGAATATCGGAACGATATACTACTCTTACTATACACATAGTTCAACAGTTTATATTGTTACATCAACATCATTAATTTGTATTCTTCCTCGTTAATTTGGAATTAAATTAAAGTTCACGATGCCGTCACGATCTGCAAGAACCATCAATTGGAGACGTTTGTTTACAACTATCACCCCGAATAGTCAACGTTCCGGCCCTGAAATCAATGTAAGTTGTAAGTTTAATCTGATTTCGACATTTAAAATAAGTTATATTTGTAAGTTGAAAGGCAATCAGAGAACAAGCCAGTGCAATATGCTTGTGTGGCAGTCGATAACTGTAAAAAAAAATATAGATTATGTCGATATCAGATGTTTCTAGAGTAGGCAGGTTTCGGACCACATGTATATATGCTACAACAGATCTCAGCAATAGAAGCCTAGTTCCCCAAAATTGGGTATATATTTCCCTTGTGTATCTACAGGTACTTCAATGGATACCTGAGTAATTTTCCGAGAATTAAAATAAGTGTTATGTTATAAGATATATAGCTTATTGAAACTTGGAATGTGTCAAATTTCATAGTTTTGGGTGGTTGTTTTGACCTGTAATTACTCCATCCTGTTAAGCAGCTTTCCTTTCTTTGAACAAGAGGATACCAGAGGATTGTGAAGTCCAAAAGGTTTGGAACCAATGCAATGTAAAAGTAAATAATTATATCTGTTGAACGTCTTCCTGATATCTTAAGTCCAATAACTATTACTTAATTCAGAGATTTCGTATGACAGAAAATGAAAAGATGGCCAGTTTTTCAGTGTATAGCTCTCCCAGTTTACGGACTTCAGATGTTCAGCATGACTTGATTGGGGAATTGAGAAAACTTTCTACTTCAACAGCCGGAAAATACGGTAAGTGTTGAATACCTTGTTGAGAGGCTATGAGATTCTATTGTCATGGCACCGAAAAGTACAGATTGTGGCAATTAACTTTGACTTTGGAGTAAGTCCACGACAAAAATGTAATTCCATAATACTACATGTATTTCCCATCTCTCCAGTTCGGCAATTCCAATCGACCATCGAATTGCCGTCTTTGAAATTTGGGCAATAATAAAAATGATACCTGTTTTAGTTCAAGCAGAAAAGCTAGACCTATACTTCATGGTAACTTGTTTTACATGCTTGACATTGGTGTGAATGTCTAAGGTCCAGGTGAACTGGCTATTAACGGCATCCCATCTGATCTGAGCACCTCCATATCGAAAAATTGATTGACAACAAGCAACTGTGACCTACTGGGTGCTCGCATGTTCCAAAAGCTCAGCTTGACTACAAACTGAAACTCACGGCAACTAACTGGTGGCAATTTTTCGGTCGTCGGTACGCCCTGATTGACAAGGTCCATCGATTGATCAGAATCTATCAGTTGCACGCAGTCGTTGAAAATGCAGTTGTTCCCGGAATCTGCCAAACACGAGGTCGACTTCAGCACCAGTGACGTTTCTAGGAAACATTATGTGAGTGGGACGAGCAGGGGCCACACAATTTTTACAATTCTTACACAATGTAAAATGATAAAAAATTTGAAAGTGTGTGGTGTGGGGATTGCAACCCCCTCCCCCTCCCTCATAGAAACGCCACTGTTTAGCACCACTGTTATTGTCAATCGTATTATATGAACCTAACATTAAAGAACCTGTTGTGTAATTTGTAGATGTATCATATGCTAGTTCAAGAGAAAAATGTGTAAGAATGGCATGTTTTGTTATTATGTGGTTACCAATATTACTGGTATCAGGCGCCGTCATGTATGTTTCAGTTTTACATATTAGTAATGAGAAAAATATCGATCAGGTGAGCGTTGTAGATATCAAAAATATTGTGTTCTTCGAAAATGATCGGGCTTTACCTCCAACATTTTTGCACCACTTAATGTTATCGAAAATAGAAAAAACATGGAGTGTGAAATAGGGGAAGAATTTCCATTCGTCGCATGCAGCGATTCATTTTATTGTAGCATCTGTACGAAATACTCGGTGGTGGCGCCCGGCCTTCCGACACTGGAGGTACAGAGGCAGAATGACTCGATTGGGGGCAGAATGACTCGATTGGGGGGTTGTCGTGTGCTGGGGATCATAGTCGCAAGCCTCTCATAGAGCTTCTTAGAGGGTTCTCTCAAGAAAATTTTAGAAAAGCTGAATTGATTTTGTGCATTCTGAAAATAAAGTGGGGGTTCAATTGGGGTCCAAACCACTTTCTGGCGCCACCACTTACTCTTTCTGTGTAAGTTGTATTACAGTCTATAATTTCTTTACTTGTCGTTTTATTTTCAGATCAGAACTGGCCTCAAGAATTTAAATATGACTCTAGGATTATCAACTATCTTATCAAGTGAAATGACATTAATAATAACTTATTCTCATGGCCAGAATAGCGAGGGAACGCAATCGTTAACAGACACCTTCCTTAGAACAGAGTACTATCTTAAAGACCATCAAGACTGGCCTTATCAACTCTGTACGCAGTGGAAAGTCATGAAAACTAAATATTCTCTCTTGAATTACCTACGAAATTATCGTCTGTTTTCTAAAGGAAAAGAGGCTTGGAAGAATTCGGCTATATTCCATTCCATTGAGCAAGAGCTATCCTTGTGTTCTATGAATTTTCTCACGGAAGGCGATGGGCTAATTCCTTGGTTTAATATGGCCGTCATTGCAGATATATTGGCGTTTCACATACGACTCCAGTTTCATATCAGTAGACTGACGTATTGCTCCGAACAGCATATCAATGATCAGTTTGAAATGCGATCTCATTTGGAACTGGCTAATTTTTTCATCTCCAAGTCTCGAAATAGCGTTACCATTCCATTTGCCTGTTCAGAATTAATTGCATTTAAGAAACTTGAACATAGTCATATTGATTTCTGTTCACAAAAACATATGGAATTCGAAAAACAAAGACTGCAGCTAGCGAATGAATGTTTTTTCGCCTTGAGTTCAGATATGGAAGTGGAAGTCATAAGGACTACAGATATACTGCTGAGATGGATTCTTGTGGAAGTGTTTACTTTGATTCTCAGCCTTTTGATTTCTGCACCTACATTGTATCTGGTTGTTTCCAAACACACAAAATACCTGCAAATGTGTGAGCAGTATGTTTTGAGAATTGGTCGTCAGCTAAGTCAAGTTCGTGGTCGAATGTCATCAGTTCTGGAAGAGGTCTTGCCACGACAGTGTCCAAAAATGTTAAGCGATGCAACTACTACGTCAAAATATTACCAAAACGTCGCCGTGCTAGTAGTGGATATAAGACATATTTGGCGGAATATTCCCACTGCACAACCTGATAAAATGATTGGTATCTATAATGTAGTTCTCAACTTATTAGATAATCGTATTGCTCAGTATGATGTCCATTTCGTACAGCGGACAGATTTCTTTTACACAATTTTATCGGGTGAGTGAGCTTTATAAATGGTTGCCATGATATAGTACGAGAAGCCGAATTTCCGGCAGCGTTTTGAAAATAAATCACCTGCCGATTGCATTAGATTTCAGCTCGTCCTTGTACTTTTTAGAACTGATATCCGACATTGGTTCTCTAACAATAAAACATAGGCGTGGTGTTAAAGTGCCCCATGAACATGATTGATAAGGTCACAATATCGGCACTTGAGAACTTAGAAATAAGGCGGTCTAAATTTTATCCATTTATGTATTTATAAAAAACTATGTACATGTAGATGTATACATGTATGTATTTCTCCTAGGACTGAATAATGGTGAACGTTCAACAAGGAATTATCAAGTTGCTGAAATGGCAAATCTAGCTTTGGACTTGTTAATATCAGCTAGCGATTTGGAGCTAGGAGGTCCATCAACTCCAACTAAAATAGAACTCAAAATAGGGCTAAGTCGTGGTAAGTATTAAGTTGTTATAGCCTTCAAGTGTAGTTTTGAAGAGTTTTCTGTGCTCTTGTTTTGCAAGTGTTGTGGTTCTGTCTCGACATGTAATCTAGAGTAATACCCCCATATTCCAATCACGTTCAAAACGAACATTGTCCATTGTACCAATACCTATAGAAGGGCCGTCCCAAATAATTTGTTTTAACTATTTTTATGTTTCAGTCAAGTCAAAATTATTGAAGACTACATCTTTTTTTTACATTTAAAACTCCTATTGGCCATATTTTGGAAGATTTATAGCGAAAAGGATGTACTGAGAAAATTTGGTCTAGAAAATAATAGTTGTTGTGCTACATGATTTTAACTCTTAAAACTCAAACACGATGTTAACTCAATGAACCCCCTTTGTCTAAAATGTATACAATCATTAAATATTTTTAAATTTAATTTTAGGACCTGTTATTGGGGGTTATGTTTACACTGGTGGTTTAAAAAGATTTCGAGTTGTTGGAGAAACTATTACTAAATCGACAAATTTAGCCACATCTTGTTATCGTAAGTTTACTGATAGTTCAGTTCCACTTTGCCCACTTTATCAACCGGATGGTCGCAAGTTTTTGATGGCTAAGATCGACGACCAGAAAGGACATAGATTTTTTGTCCTTCGTGCTCTCAAGTTGAGACCATCCAGCGATTGATTAGATTCTTCCATTTACAAGTAGTTGCCTACAGTCTTTGAAAATTCAGTTGATCTGTTTAAGCCACCCGTTTATATACATGTATCATTATAAGTTACTTTATCATGAGCACGACCTTTATTTTCAAAAGTAAATAGTCAGGATAAAATATATTACCAAGAAAGATGTTTTATCGACATCCCCTATTTTTTTGATGATATAACCTTATTTTTATTATAGCAAATAGCATACATTTATGTGTAGCAGTTAAACAATATTTAAAGCAAACAGGAATATATGATATACGAAAAGAAATCAGACCCTTGGTAACAGTAAGTTAACTTTATTTATCCTACCCCCACTTCACTTGAGACAAATCTAAAAAATGTGAATTTTGTCGTGCCCCGAAGTATGTGTCACAATGCACAAAATCAATTCTGTTTTCTTTTGGGAAAAAAAACTCTCAGAAGCTTCAATGCCACAATTTCAATCTCAACACTTGTCACCCTCCCCCCTTTCCCCCACCCTAAATTAAGTCAGTTTGTGCCCGTATTCTCTGTAGGCTGACATTAAACAGAACTAAGACAATTGCCACATGTTGTCCATGTTTATGCAACAATTGGATCGACCTGGACAAGTTTATATTCCAATTTCCTTTTATCTTGTTCATTATTAATTAACATTTCGTATTTTAGGATGACGATTCAGCTGAGAAATTAGAGCAGTGTTTTTGGTTGTTCGGTAGAAAAGTGTCATGTGATGTGTTTCATAAAACTAACTATGAAGCTGGCTCATCTCTACATCTTCCCAAAACTCCCGAATACACCTTCGATATTAATGATTGTTATACTAATCGCCATCGCTATAAATTTCTTTGAATACAGTTTGTGAGTGTGTAAACTGAACACACCTTAAAGAGAGAGCACACACCTGATAATTTTTATTTATAATATTTATTATTTATTGTCAGTGGCACAACTAGGTGAGCGGGGGCCCTTGAACTGGCTCTAGTCCATAAGCCACTGTTTATTGCATGTCCTGGATTTACAGGAAATTATATGTTTCAGGTTATGTTTTAATATTTCTATATTACTCTTCAATTGATATATTGAGAACTGTTAATTATATATTGTCACTTTGCGTGATTTGTTAATTTTTGTCAAAAGAAAACTTACGTTCCAAAGTCATGTCATTTCCAGATCCATATAATTACCCGCCTATGGAATAACTTTTTTCTGATAATTGACTATAGATGAGATTTTGATTAACGGAATTGTCTTGCCTGTACAATTTTTTATTCCAGAGTTTTGATAAGACCTATTACTAATTAGGCCTAATCATTGTAAATCAGGTTGAATTTTGCCGAATGATTTGGAACAAAACATCGATTAGTTCATATTATCCAAGGAACAGTATTTGATCGTGTTCTTTATAAAGAATTTGGACTGTTGACAAATTATATATCTGATTTCTCATTAAAGACCAGAGATTAGAGACCAAGTGACGAAATGACACAGACTTAAACCGTTTTTGTTAGGACGCATTTGATTCGGGGCGATTTGACCACTTCCTGGGGACAGATAACTCCTTTTAGATAAACACGCTTTTTTTACTGCACATTTGCCTTATTTTTTTTATAAAAGCGAAATGCCTGAAAAGAAATCTCCCGGTTTTCTTTCTCATGCTACCCAATTTACCAAAAGTTTATGGAACGATCCATTCAGATGGTAAGTAAGATTTCCAAAGATCCTTGACAATGACCGAATGAATGGCAAGATGGTCAAAACCAAGACACCAATAATCAATATGGACTCACTCCACATTTGCCATCTCTTCCCATGTTAAAACACGAAATTCAACCTTCTATAACTTTTTCCAGAAATCTCGTTGAAAGCTTTCCAATATGTGGAATGAAAGCCTGGCCAATTCTCAATGTCTCCTAAAAAATTCATTATATGATGACCATGAAAATTTTGAGCTACTAAAATTGAAAGTAGACTACTACCGGTTATACTCATCCGCTAGAGTTTGGCACTTCACAAAACGACTATTTTTAGAATAAGCCTTCCGCCTTTAGGTCTCTCATCATCTCACCAAATCTGAAAGATAATGCAATTTCAGACATCAAATTCCAAATCTAGACCAAATTTTACAAAAAAATAGGCATGCAAAAACCCCAAAAGGGAGAAGAAAGAAGATTTCTAAAAATAGCCTGGACTACATATACAATCATTTGCATAAAATGTTTTAGTGGAGTGAGTCCATATGACTATGGTTGTCCAATCTTTTTTATTGCCCCCTGAAAAAATTCTGAAAACCGACCATTATTTCAATTAAACACCATACACCATTGCGCTGCGGAACAATCAAGTCTGCCTTGGGTCTGTACTGCAGACTCATTATCAATGAACATCTATTTCATTTAAAACCTGATCTAATATGTTACCCTATGCTAGCAAGGTTTACCAGTAATAAAACTGCTCCATAGGCAAATGTAATTAATTCCCTTGATGTTATCGCGATATATCTTCAGACCATATCCAGTGGCTGTTGTCTATTTTCAGGCAGTTGGTGAAAAGTATAGGACTCTTTAGTTTAGCTATTTATAGTATCACCAAAATAGCAGATGCCGAGGCTGTAGCTGCAGCAGAATCTTTAGTGGAAAGTGCAACACCTCATTAAATGAATGATTGGGAAGTGTAAGTAGCCATGTCAGGTAGAGACATAAAAAGGTCTTTACTGTATTAATCAATCGTAAGATAACAAGAAATTGTTCAATTCTGCAACAATGTTAAAATAATTTCTTTTTCAAAGCAATCGCTATGCATAATTAGTATACGTCAGCAGTCTCATTTCTCAGTTTCAACAATTTATTATCTGGGATGTCACTGAAGTTACTATTCCAATGGTGCATGCCATTAAAATAGGCCAATATTAGGATATATATATATTGATATTTTGCCATCGTTTAAAAATAAACTGAGGATGTATGCATTCCTTCTGAATTTAAGAAGTATGATATAAATACCATGAAATACAAGTCAAAGCTCAGTATAGCTGCTGCTCCTGTACATATCGCATAAGTGAAAGAATTTTGGCTGTCAATCGTCTAATATGTATTGTTTTGATAAAATGTTGTCTTCTATTTGCAGGTGATTGTCTGGTGTGAATGATGAAAATAGAGTTTTTATAGTTTCATAAACATTGTTCTTAGATTTCATGAAAAATACTAGTGTTGATAGGCTAACTGAGGTATGTGCACATCCAGGCACAAAATGTTCGCTATAATTTTTAGGTAGAAACCATATGAGCCATTTGATTGGAGTTTGATTCATGCTGCCAACACATTGTTTTCACAATCTTCATCAGTACAGGCAGTATTGAAATGGGTTAATTATCCAAAATTAGAATTATGTCTTAAGAGTACACTCATGTAACTCACAAGGCAGGACTGGGAACTGTTCACTCTGGATGTGTATATATTTTATTCTACCATTAGTTTTAAGTCATTGTATTTGATGATTGTGTTTGTTAAGTATGAATAAACTGGACATGATATGATCTTCAAATTCCTGACCACTTATGGAACAGTTGACATTGCATGAGCTAATTTGCCTATCACATAAAATATTCAAATCCAAAGTACTTAGCTGGGTGAGCCACAAGTGTCAGTGTGTACATGTGGGAATATGTATATGCTATTGTGATGGCCCTGAAAATGCCCTTTTGAAACAAAATACACTTTTAAGGACATGTTTTAATCTTCCACATACAAGTTAAACAAAATGATGTATCCAACAATACCAATTATGGATAAAAAAAAATTAAAAGCATGATTGATGTTACGTACAATGTATTTGTCTCAGCACATAATATGATTGTGATGGGAAGTTTCAATATGACAGTATTTCCTACAGTTAGGCCGAGATTAATTGATAAATGATTTTAACAATCAGATACTATGATTGCTCAAGTCACAAGAGACCCCCCACTAAAGTTAACTGACTGTTCTAGACCTCTGAAGATATACATGGATAATGCGCAATGATAATGATATATTCAATGAATGATAAAGATGATAAATGATTGATCAGTCTTTAAATTCTCCTTCTTCATCCTCTTCTTCCACACCTCTTATATATAAGACATTGTTACATCTGTAAAACAAATAAAATATTTTATCACCTCATATGAGAAATGGAGCTGAACATCTCCAATTTACTGATCTCTTCGAACACACAAACCATACTTTATAACTGCCCTTGACACACATACTAGACTAGACTAGAAAATAGAAGACTCTTTTCAATCTGAATGAAATAATATACACACCTGATAAGAATTTCTCCCAGGTTTCCAGCTAACATACCATCAATATATTCTTCAGTATTTGCCAACTGAAATTTAAATAAGAAAACTGATTCTCAATTTTCTAACGTAGTAAATGGTTCTTAGTATTTCAAATAAAAGCAGGATAGTTAAGATAAAATCAATTGCATTTCAATACACAACAGTGATATGGGTGAGCTTTTATATCTTAATTATTGAGTACATCATTTGACCTATAGGTTGTCAAAACAATTCTGACCTGTAAATTCATATAACCATCTACAGATACTAAATAACCCTTATACTCCATACCCCACTTCAATTTTACCATGATAGGTTTTCCAGTCAGACCATTCAAAAATGGCTTTGGGTTCATAGGCAGGGTCTAAAATAGAGAGAGAATGAAAGACTACACAAACATTTCAAATATCACCACAAATACTGTCAATGTAGAGCTGGAACTGAATTGAAGGTCTGAGGCGATGGTGTAATTTATCCATCTACTAATTACTTGCTTTACAAGTTTACTCGGTATTTCACTGATAGAACTCAATTACGTCTATCTGATTATTCAATAAGAACCAACGAACGCCTTTGGGCCGATATGACTATGAAATGAAGAGCCCACAAAAGCACACGAACATAACCACAAAGAAATCATGTTACTAAAAGATATAAAAGTACGATATTGCAAATCCACAACAGAAACAATTTCGAATGCAAAAACAATTCACATATATTTACTTACAGCCATGATTATCTGTTATATTTTCTAATTTCAAGGAAAAGATGTAGCCGGTAGAACGTTGAAAAGCGTGTAAATGTTGGAGCATGCGCAAAGGTACTTAATATGTCGTTTATTTGCTGGAATCGTACAATTAGTAAAATGAATAAAGAGAAAATGGATGACCAATGGCCATTTACACATTTTCGGTGGCTTAATAACTATTTGTGTATATATCCATTGAAAACTAGATGAACAAAATCATGCCATCAATTTGAATTAGTAATAGATTTCAAATTATATCGTTCTTTTATATGAAATGTAGAAATTTAAGAAAGCCAATGGCGACTTCCATAAATACACAAATTTTCTACTGATTTCTTATATTTTGCGCCTTCTTGCGCTTGTGATCATCCAGTATAGTAATGGGTGTTGTGAGGTATTATTTGTATTTCGGCCTGTCCGTCTAACCCGCAATAAAGTGTCTTCTACGAAAATATATCATGACTTTGGATTTCAGCAGCCCTCTTCTATTATGATCAAAGGCACTTGTTTCTGTGACAACAGTCAACTGAGTCAAGTTGTTTGACATTTTTCTGTTACCACCAATCTTATACCATTTGTTTGACTTTTATACAGAGCTTTCAAAATAAAAATTTTAGGGGCAGTGCTGGTTTGTAAAGTTTTCATTATCAAAAATGTTGCAAATACTATATATTTCTAAATTATGCTATTTTAGGTTTTACATCTATGCATTCACTTGATCAAACTAGATTTCACTCTATGAATTTGAGCAAAAAAATATTTCAACCTACAAAAAAACCTGGAGTGCCTCTTTAAAAAGGCCACACAATCCCCTTGTGTAAATTTCAAATTTAAATTAAAAGAATTGTTCAATTAATCTTACATCCATTTCACTTCTGGTAAAATTGTAAATACATGGACAAGTTATTAATTTCAAATCTTTTGTTCAAACAGCACCTTTTCATTAGGAGTGAGTTGAAAATGGGCTCTATCGCCTAGATTACCAAATAATAAGTTAACTATAATTCTATCTTCAGTGTGTACATGTTTCCAGTTCCTGAAGGGAAGAGTGGACAGCAAGTAGTAGAAAGCTTACAGAAAAGTATTGAATTACTAGGTGCAACCAAAACTGGTAATTTTTGTGTTGATTGTGAAACTTTTCAGACCAGCATTCAAAATAGTAAGTACCAGTATCTTTTATTCTAAACTTCCAACTTATTGGAAGGGGTTCACAACTTATCTATTATAATCTTGTTGGAAAGAGTTTATATTCCAATTCCAGAAAGCACATGCTTATGATTAGAATCTGGAGCACCTTATCTCATAAATAAAAGACATGCATAAGCCATACAAATTTCTAAAAAAAAGTAGAGTTTAACTTAGATTGAGTAAGGACATGCCCAGATACTGCTCTAAAAACTTAACAGAAGAAATGCACATACATAGCCAGGTAGACCAACACTAAAGAGTGTACAAGATGGTTCATTTAAATGAATATGTACTGTACAGAAAATCGGTGTCAACAGACTTTCAACTAGACACAACTGATAAATAAAACTAATAGAAATGTACAATATACCAAATAACTTAAGAGTCAGACGTTTTAGTTCTTCAACCTGATACACATATTATAAATGATTTTCATTTTAGCTCAACAGAGACAAGTGAACATACTACATAGCAGTGACCACCCTGCATCCTGCTTTGCCATATTAGATGCAGGTACTTGTCTAGTAGCTGATTCTCTGTTTGATGGATTGATGCAAAAATTAAAACATTACTATCAACAGAGGAAAGGCTCAAAGATAGAATCAAAAGGACAAAGATATGAATTTGGAGACTTTGTGTTTAAAGTCGGTTCAGTGTCACTGGCCTCTAGTTTTAAAGGTATTCTGTTGGAGGTGAGGCTTCTGCTGATTCATATAAGTAATATATAACTTTAAAGGTATACAGTCTGGATATCAGCTATCAACCAACCTGTTCTCTTACATGTTAGCAGAAATGCAGCATGCCAATTCAGACCAATAGATACAGCTGCACTATATCCCTGCAATCCCTAAATTAGATTTTATTTTCTAAAATTTGGGAATCTGAAAGTGAGCTTTAGCAACTCATCACTTTAAAGATGGGTTCCCTTATTTTCATGTATGAAAATGAAATTGCTAATACTTATAAAAATAGAAAGTAGTAAGTAGAGGTATTCTAATGACTAATAAAAAAAAATACCAGTTTGTCTAACATGTCCATAATTAATTCATAATTAGCTAAATTAATAGAGAATTACCAGCAGAATTCCAATGAGTGACCGATCAAGATAGGTCAAAAAGTCTTTTTTTGTTTATCCAGACTGTACATACATACATTGACATTTATGACTGGTTAAAACTCCTAATTATATGCAACTAGAACATAATGATATGATTAATAATACATGATAATTCATTAGAAACACCAATTAATCAAATAGTTTGCTTAATTTGACAGTAAAAAATCAGGAATCCATTATTAAACAGGATTACCAAGGTAGTGAAGATTTCAATTAAAAAAAGCATGTTTTAATATCAGTGATGATGTTGGTATTGCAACTGTGGCACCTTTAAATTTCAGCTTCCCACGTGTGATTGACTCATATTTGTTCTGTTTTCAGATTGAATATTGTCCTTGTATAATAGCTGGTGATTGTTGGGGTCTATTGAAAGAAATGGCCTCCAGTATTGTGGGTAATGTGGCAGAACAGCAACCAAATGTTATCAAAAACAAACTAGAACATGTTTATACTACAGCAGATACTATGTGTCAATATTTAGAACATTTTAATAATTATAAAAAACAGACTATTCCACCAACTGCTGTTAGTACTGGTAGATGATAAATAGTTTACTGGTAGATAATAAATAGTTTACTGGTAGATGATAAATAGTTTACTGGTAGATGATAAATAGTTTACTGGTAGATGATAAATAGTTTACTGGAAGAAGATAAATAGTTTACTGGAAGAAGATAAATAGTTTACTCGTATTGTTTACTGGTAGATAATAAATTGTTTACTGGTAGATGATAAATAGTTTACTGGTAGATGATAAATAGTTTACTGGAAGAAGATAAATAGTTTACTGGTAGATGATAAATTGTTTACTGGTAGATGATAAATTGTTTACTGGTATTGTTTACTGGTAGATGATAAATTGTTTACTGGTAGATGATAAATTGTTTACTGGTACATTATAAATAGTTTACTGGTAGATGATAAATTGTTTACTGGTAGATGATAAATAGTTTACTGGTAGATGATAAATTGTTTACTTGTATTGTTTACTGGTAGATGATAAATAGTTTACTGGTAGATGATAAATAGTTTACTGGTAAATGATAAATTGTTTACTGGTAGATGATAAATAGTTTACTGGTAGATGATAAATTGTTTACTTGTATTGTTTACTGGTAGATGATAAATAGTTTACTGGTAGATGATAAAAAGTTTACTGGTAGATGATAAATTGTTTACTGGTATTGTTTACTGGTAGATGATAAATTGTTTACTGGTAGATGATAAATTGTTTAATGGACATAGCACTTTGATTGCAAAAATTATATTCGGCCTTTTACATGAGAAAAAACAGTAAAATATAATTACATGAAGAATAAATACAGGAAAATATATAACAATATAAACTCTCTGAAAGGGATAATGGGTTCCCAGCCCAGGTGCCACAAGTTTGGACACCTTCCACTACATCAACCATAGAACTTATTGTAGTGGAGTTTAGTAAATTGAACAACGATTTTAGACAAAGAATGAAAAAGGGATAATCAAAAAAATCTTTGTTGGATTTGTTAAGTGATTTTTTGTTGCACATTATAGGTTTGACTTTTGAAACTAAATGGAAGTTCTGATGTGTATCTGCCCTAACACACTAGACACTGCTGTGATTGGTGTTTGGCAAAACTGGGAATGCTTATGTATATTGTTTGTTGAATAAATGAACTGAACTTGTGTTTTACCTCCTACTTTTCTACTTCTGATTGCACTGACAAAAATACTGCAATGATATTTTTAGTTCTGACCTTAATAGGACATTGAATACACCTATGAATTGGAAATTGAATTGTGGAAAAAGATTTTCTCAGAATGTGAATTTGATAATGCACTCTGTCAAACGTTACCACATGAACAAAATTTTTAGAACAATATCCGATATTCATTCAAATATTCTTCTTTAGCAGCTGTTACAGCTCAATTTTAGCTACAATTTACAAAATTGACATTTGTTACCTAGTTCTCCGGCAATTCATTGAATTAAAGTTCTAAATCTGAAATAGCTGAAATTGAGGTAGGAAAGTAGATTATACTACTGTATGCCTTTAAAGTGGTTCAGACACTAAGGTCTTCTGACGACATGTTTTCCTGAAAAAATCAATTCTGATAACAGAATAAAGTCGATTCAACAATTTGTTTAAAAGAAAAAACTGAAATAGCACTTCAGTTCAGACGTTTAATTGACTCGGTACCAGGCCCGTAGCTGTTTGACACTATAGGATCGCTATTTCGACATTTAAACTCTCCGGATTGGCAGCCTCTGAAAAAAAAGATTTCAGCTATTATAATAAGAATTGGTTTCAATTGATGTGTCATTTAGAAAATATGGAGCTGATCTTTGTAATTAACCACATGGGAAATTACTAGGCTTAAGAGCTTGATGAGCGGCTGAATGTATTTATAAAATTGAACAATTAATAGCGGAATGTTTTTTTTTATGTCAGTTCGTGTGAAATTTCACAAAAAACATCTAGCCGTGATTGAGGACAGGCATTGACTTCAAGGGTTTCTTTGATATGCAGATACTATGACGATATCTTCTATTTAAATATTTACACAAATATATCCCTTTATCGTTAAACTTACTACAGTTCTGTTTACGTTCATCTTCTCCATTGGGTGTACAATCAACTACTCCATCACACCATTTAGAAACCGGCATCTAATTCGACTGACCTTAGGAGTTTCAAATTCTAAATCCCTAAATTAGATTTTATTTTCTAAAATTTGGGAATCTGAAAGTGAGCTTTAGCAACTCATCACTTTAAAGATGGGTTCCCTTATTTTCATGTATGAAAATGAAATTGCTAATACTTATAAAAATAGAAAGTAGTAAGTAGAGGTATTCTAATGACTTATAAAAAAAAAATACCAGTTTGTCTAACATGTCCATAATTAATTCATAATTAGCTAAATTAATAGAGAATTACCAGCAGAATTCCAATGAGTGACCGATCAAGATAGGTCAAAAAGTCCACCTCTAGGTGGTAGGACTTTTTGTTGTTGAGGCCACAGGACTTGTTGTTGGTAAGGTGGTAGGGCTTGTAGGTGAGGTAGTCGGACTTGTTGCTGGTGACGTCACATGACTTTTGTTGTACCATTTAATATAAATATGCCAACTTTTAACCTAGTTTTTAACCCAATACCATACCCTATGTAAATTCACATTAAAAAATTCCGTACAATTTAAGTTTAATGGTTGACCATTAAAGAAATTTCGTTTATTGTACGTATTGCTGATTCTTGATCAGTTTCGCCAAAAAACAACTTTGATGGAACCGGAGACATGACATAAATGGTGTAAGGAGAAAATGATGGTATGTCTTAACTACAAAAATATTCATCTTTCCAAATATACCTGGGTTTTGCAGATTCAAGGTATTTAAATAGGATTAAAACCCCACACCTGCGGATATTAACAGTCTCTACACTAGCTGACATCTGTCTAAATAGCTATCAGAGGCTGGAATAGAGATAGATGTTTCGGTCTACCCCTAACCTATACGGGGTTACACTAATTCAGTCTTGTTTTAATGTGCCATGTAAATAATGTAATTATTTGACATTCCAGATATCCACAAGAGATGTTAAAAAAGGAATATCACAAAAAACACCTTGTCGATATCCACTATGTTTGACGGATCAGTGAATCCCAGATCCCAGGTTTTATGTTCTCACTGTCCGATGTCTAATTTAATCACTCCATAGATAGTTGAAACTGAACCCTAGTATAGAAAACAAGTAGGAGACAGCTCAAAAAAATCGAAAAGTAGTTCGTGTGGAAATAATATTTGAACTAAATAGCCCTTGTTCTGACATATTAATGTGACACCTAATGTCGATGTTATCATGCTATAAGATTGTTACTATTATAATGAATTTAGGTGGAAAATCGTTGATCCTTTCTTGTTAAACATTTATGACTTGTCCTAATCAGTTAATTTCATCAGATAAACAACTGCCGTAAGTAAAATTCACTGCAATTTTTGATTGTCACGTGAATTTTTAATCGCTATTTAGTGTACATGATAAACCATTCACTTTTTGTAAAACGTTTGCATAAATTAATTGTTGTAGAATACTGATAAATAGTCGAGAAAAATATAAATTTTATCATTACTTCAAAATAAGCATTGGTAAATAAATATGAAACAAATATTGTTACTTTTGTTTTGTGGAATTGTTGGTTCTTCTCGTGCATTTTCGGGAATTTGGAATAAGGCGGAATTGTGGAGTCCGAAAAACAGCATTCCTTTTTCAGAATATTTGGAATTTTATAAGCAACTTCTTGAGAATTGTAACGATCTGCAACATGTAACACGAGATGCATGCTCTGCAGCACAACCTTCTTGCTGTGCATATTTTCAATGCGCTGATTTTTGTGTCAGTAAATGCAAGGAGCTCTTACCTGTAACAAGAGGTGATGTCTTACAATTCTTCAGGTTGATTTCATTCAAAAAATGTAGTGCTTTTATGGAAGCTGCAAAATCGTGCAATCAAAGCAGTATCAGTATTGAGTGTAAAATCTTGGAGAATCTTCTTAAAGCCTGTTTTACCAAATTTCCTGTTTCGCCTACAACAAGTCAACTTACATCACCTACAACAAGTCCTGCGACATCACCTACAACAAGTCAACTTACATCACCAACAATAAATCCTACCACCTCACCAACAACAAGTCCTACCACCTCACCAACAACAAGCCCTACCACCTCCCCAACAGCAAGTCCTACCACCTCACCAGCAACAAGTCCTACCACCTCCCCAACAACAAGTCCTACTACCTCACCGACAACAAGTCCTACCACCTCACCAGCAACAAGTCCTACCACCTCACCGACAACAAGTCCTACCACCTCACCGACAACAAGCCCTACTACCTCACCAACAACAAGTCCTACCACCTCACCTACAACAAGTCCTACCACCTCACCAGCAACAAGTCCTGTGACCTCACCAGCAACAAGTCCCGTGACGTCACCGGTAACAAGCCCTACTACCTCGCCTACAACAAGTCCTACTACCTCCCCAACAACAAGTCCTACCACCTCACCAACAACAAGTCCTACGACCTCACCTACAACAAGTCCTACTACCTCACCAACAACAAGTCCTACCACCTCACCTACAACAAGTCCTATAACAAGCCCGACAACGTCAAGACCCATGGGTAAGTTAATTATGCAGGTCGTTGTAACCTTATGTCTATTGTATAACCTTTTTTTAAACTTATTACTATTATGCAAACATAAATCGCTATGCCTCATGCTTGCTACGAGAATCTTGACCTTTCCTTATGGAGCCGCGGTGGCTCAGTGAGTTAGACGCTTGCTCGCTAACCTGAAGGTCCAGGGTTCAATCCCGGCATAGGTCGAGATAATACCTTCGGATTTTTCAACCCGGTTTCCCCCTGTCAGTGATGCAGGTACGAGGGGCTGACATGGAAAAAGCGTCTAGTCGTTCGGATGGGACAATAGACCGAGGCCCCGTGTGCTACAGGCTGTGCACGTTAAAGATCCCTCGACAGTTGGAAATCGAAAAAGAGCAGGCAAAATATCCCTCATTGCACCCTGCATGGCGTTGCCCGTCTTCATTAGCCCACATGGTGCAGAAAAGTAGGACGTAAAACTCCATTCATTTCATTTCATTTTTGACCTTTCCTTGTTTCTGTAATCGCAATTACGCTACCCATTCACATTTTAGTCAGATAATGAAACTCGTGTGATTTTATAGGTGTATTTTATTGTGATGTTATGGGTGTAACGGGACGTGTTCAGATGCCAGTTTCTAAATGGTGTGATGGAGTAGTTGATTGTACACCCAATGGAGAAGATGAACGTAATCAGAACTGTAGTAAGTATGGCGATAAAGGGATATATTTGTGTAGATATTTGAATTACCAGTTGATGAAACTATAAATTTTACTATTGAAAACCCGACAACTTGCTCAATTAAAGCCGACGCTGTACGAACGGGATCAAATTATCGACACGTGCAATCGGCGCACGCTTTTTTTTTTATCAAGATTTGATCGCCTCTAGCGGCTTTCTGCAGAGCTACCGTAAACAATATTATGAAGAGAAAAAAACTTGCCACTCATTTCTTCCTTGTTGACGGTCCACTCTCATTTTTCTGGAACGGGAGTTAAAGACAGCAAGTTTGTGGAAGCCGCCATGATCAAGTGACCACATGATACATGACTGAAGGTACGTCAGGATAGCTTCCGATCAAACATGACAGATATTTCCCGATTTTATCGTACGGCTGTTGTCGACCAACGCACGTCAGTCGATTGTTTTATTAGATAAAATCGGTTTCAAACAATGGTGAGTGTGCTCTGGGTTTTACAATGAACTTATATCTTATCAAAAGATGAACCAATTCTTATTATAATAGCTGAAATCTTTTTTTTCAGATGGTTGTCACCCCGGAGAGTTTAAATGTCAAAATAGTGATTCTACGTGTCAAACAGCTATGAATATCTGTAATGGTGTCCAGGATTGTCACAATATGTTTGATGAAGTAACATCTAGATGTACTCCTAATACATAGTTATAGTCCCTAATAGGCATCCATAGATTTTTTTACACTGTTATTTATAATAAATGTACCCAGTCAATCAAAATTCTAGTTTATAAATAAACCCAGTCAATCAAAATTCTAATTTATAAATAAACCCAGTCAATCAAAATTCTAATTTATAAGTAAACCCAGTCAATCAAAATTCTAATTTATAAATAAACCCAGTCAATCAAAATTCTAGTTTATAAATAAACCAAGTCAATCAAAATTCTAGTTTATAAATAAACCCAGTCAATCAAAATTCTAATTTATAAATAAACCCAGTCAATCAAAATTCTATTTATATGACTCGGTCAGTTTTAAATTTTGATATGTATTGAGTCAAATGAACTTCTGATCAGAAGCGCATTTTCAGATATTTTTTAACGAATTTTTAAATCAGCTTGCATTTCCAAGTTAAAGGATTATTTTTATTATAATAATTTTATATATTTATAGATGTAAACTATTCCAAAATATATTTTAATGATTCTATAGAATACATACATATTATATATTTGTACAATGATAAATAAAGTTTATTCTATTCTGTTTTTAATTAGAATTGATTGTTCAGGAAAACATGAGATGATTTTAGTGTCGGTATTAATAGCAATGAACTACAATAAAGGGGTTGTAAAGAGGTTTTCAAGCAGTTATCATATGTATACGGTATTTATTATATTTAAGATATAAGATGTAAGCATCCGAAATGTTTAACCGTATTGAGGTTAATATCAGACTCAAAGTAAAATGGGCTAATGAAGACGGCCAGCAGACAAACTGAGCTTTAGAATGTTAAAATTCAGATGTACTGTGCAATTAACCACAATATGAGACCAACGAAAGCAGCGACCAACGGACGGTCGTGGGTGACAACAATATACGCCCCCCACCCCCACCATTTCATGTGGGTGTATATGAAATAAAAGTGTATAAACAAAGACCGGCTATCGATAACAAGTCGAAAGTGGAGAAAGCCATTAAAACATGAATATGTCAAATATACCTTAAAGATTACAATCATGACTTGAAGAAACTAAAGAGAGCAAATACTAAAGTATATTGAAAACGTCTGTCATAAAGTTGTAATCTAATACAAAAGTGATGTTGATCTTCATTCCTGAATTCTTCTATGAACACTTCAGGTATTTGAACACCAGTAGCCCAATTGGAATCGGCGAGGAAGAAAGACTGCCTGAAAGCTCAAATTTATGATGACCCATTGTGAAGTTTTATTGAGTGGAATAACGGATAATGAACTCTTGAAGTGTATTGAAAATCTTAAGATCAGTAAATGTTATGGATCAGATCAAATATTGAACGAATGTATTAAAACCACCAATTCAATGATGTTACCTGTATATGTTTTACTTTTTAATCTTATTCTTGATTCCGGTATTGTACCAAACTGAATGGGTTAATGGCATGGTCTGTCCAATATACAAGATTAAGTAAAGCAGATACAGATAGCTATCGTGGCATCTCTATTCTTAGTAAGTTATTTACTTCTGCCCTGAACACAAGGTTGAGTAGTTTTGTTGATTCGGAGTTGATCTTAGGTCCTGAGCAAACTGGTTTTAGAAAAAAACTTCCCGACTTTTGATCACTTTTGAAAATTTTAATCGATCTATTCCCAAAGCAAATGATGCGTTTGTTTGCTCGCTTCATAGACTATAGGCGAGCATTTGATAGTATACCACGACTCAAACTCTGGCAAACAGTCATTGAAACTGGCATCAAAGGGAATATTTTTGATGTGATATTTAACATCTAGTATCAGGTTAGGAAATAGTGTATGAGAGCCATTTGAATGTTCTATAGGTTTCGGGGAAGCGAGGGTTTGATTCTCAAAATGTACAGGCCCAGGATGAAAAAAAAATACTTCATTAAGAAAATGTAATAAACGGTCTGGAAGTGTTTGGTATTTTTCTTTTGTTTTGATCTGTAGGCTAATTGGATAAAATAATATCTCGCCCAAAGTTGAGAGCTTAGATTGTTTCATATAAATGGCTTTAGTCTGCTATAAACAAGGTTGTCATTTAAGTTCGGGTTTTTTTGAATATGCGACAATCACCTTTTGTTTATTAACATGGGGGAATTTCTCTCGCAGACTCTCATTATGGACATTGACTATCTTATTTGCTCGATTGCTAGTAGTATTGAAAGAAACAACAAAGGTTGCTATGCCTGCATTATGATGATTATTCAATCCTATCTTTCTTGCTGTATTTAGCGTCTCAATCCAATGGGCCTCCCTAGATTAACGCAATTTCGGAGTTTCATCTTCTGGCAATTACTATGCGCTCAATGGTTTGATTTTGCTATAGAATAAAAGTATATATGATATACTGTATACAAAGCAGTTATCTCTTCAGAAAATTTTCTATCATAAGAATACTAATTAAAGTTGAACAGGTAAACTGTCACGATATTGTGGTCCTTGGGGACAAGAGGTTAATGGGCCTAGGCATCTACATTACAGCATGGTTATAAGTTTAGATTATTGTCACTTCGTATTCGACATTAACATTCTAAAGCTCGGTCTGACTGCTAAAATCACGAAATGATCAGCCCCTTACGGAGCCCCTAAGGCGCAACTGTAAAAATATTTATTTATTATTTCGTTTCAACGAAATAATTATTTACCATGTAAGAAAAACATCCACGAAAAGTCAAAATAATCAAAATATATGTTAAAATTTTACTTTGAGTCTGATATTAACCTCAATACTGTTAAACAATTCTAATGACAGGGACATCTTACATCTTATATCTTGGGGAAAATCTAACTGATGTTAATAGATGCCATAAATACCGTATGCATATGATAACTGCTTGAAAACCTCATTGCTATTAATACCGACACTAAAATCATCTCATGTTTTCCTGAACAATCAATTCTAATTAAAAACAGAATAGAATAAACTTTATTTATCATTGTACAAATATATAATATGTATGTATTCTATAGAATCATTAAAATATATTTTGGAATAGTTTACATCTATAAATATATAAAATTATTATAATAAAAATAATCCTTTAACTTGGAAATGCAAGCTGATTTAAAAATTCGTTAAAAAATATCTGAAAATACGCTTCTGATCAGAAGTTCATTTGACTCAATACGCCTATGTATTAAAATGGATTGTCAAAGTACATATCAAAATTTAAAACTGACCGAGTCATATAAATAGAATTTTGATTGACCGGGTTTATTTATAAATTAGAATTTTGATTGGCTGGGTTTATTTATAAATTAAAATTTTGATTGACTGGGTTTATTTATAAACTAGAATTTTGATTGACTGGGTTTATTTATAAATTAGAATTTTGATTGACTGGGTTTATTTATAAATTAGAATTTTGATTGACTGGGTGGCAGCCATCTAAAAAGAAAAAGATTTCAGCTATTATAATAAGAATTGGTTCATCTATTGATATGTTGTTAGAGAAATATGGAGTTTATGGTTATGAGTAACCAGGATTAAAACATGGTCAGGGGTTGAATGATTTCATAGAACGGAATAAATCACATATACATCTATTTCTATTTGAGTTCGCCTGGAATTTCATTCAAATAAATGTACAGTCGTGATTGAGGACAGGCATTATTTTCTATGAATTCCATTAGTAAGAAGATACTATGACGTTATGCTTTCTATCGGCGGAAATGAAAATTACCATCGATAAGATATTAGTTCAATGTAAAGGCCGGTGCACATCCACCAATTGTTTGACGCCGATAATATTGAAAAGTCGGCGGTCGGTGTGCCTTGGTCCACGACGACCGTACGACAAAATTCGGAGATATCTGCCATGTTTAATCGGAAGACGACCTGAAGTACCTTTTCGGCTAGTGTACGGGTGTTCCCTATAACTTGTTGCGACTGTCTGTCTTGTATCACGTGGTCCCTTCAACATGACTTCCGCAAACTTACAGTCTTCATCACCCGTCCCACAAGAAAGTAAGTGGACCGTCAACAAGGAAGAAATAAGTGGCATCAAAGGAGCAAGTTTTCTTCTCTTCATACTATTGTTTATGGTAGCTCTTCATAAAGCCGCTTTAGGTGGTCAAGTCCTGATAAAAAATTGGCAAGCGTGCGCTGATTACCATAATTTGACCCCGTTCGTACGGCGTTACGTCAAAAAATTGGTAAGTGGGCATCGGCTTTAAGCGACCCAGCTGTCGGATTTTGAATAGTCAAATTTATTTTGCAAACTTAACTCAGTTTCATCAACTGGTAATTCAAATATCTACACGAATATATCCCTTTATCGCCATACTTACTACAGTTCTGATTACGTTCATCTTCTCCATTGGGTGTACAATCAACTACTCCATCACACCATTTAGAAACCGGCATCTGAACACGTCCCGTTACACCCATAACATCACAATAAAATACACCTAAAATTACACGAGTTTCATTATCTGACTTGAATGTGAATGGGTAGCGTAATTGCAATTACAGAAACAAGGAAAGGTCACAATTCTAGTAGAAAGCATATATGAGGCATAGCGAATTATGTTTGCAAAATAGTAATAAAGTTTAAAAAAGGTTACACAATAGACATAAAGTTACAACGACCTGCATAATTAACTTACCCATGGGTCTTGACGTTGTCGGGCTTGTTATAGGACTTGTTATAGGTGAGGTGGTAGGACTTGTTGTAAGTGAAGTGGAAGGACTTGTTGCTGGTGAGGTGGCAGGACTTGTTGTTGGTGAGGTGGTAGGGCTTGTCGTTGGGGAGGTAGTAGGACTTGTTGTAGGCCGAGGTGGTAGGACTTGTTGTAGCTGAGGTGGTAGGGCTTGTTACTGGTGAGGTCAGTAACACTTGTTGTTGGTGAGGTGGTCGGACTTGTTGTTGGTGAGGTAGTAGGGCTTGTTGTCGGTGAGGTGGTAGGACTTGTTGTTGGGGAGGTAGTAGGACTTGTTGAAGGTGAGGTGGTAGGACTTGTTGTAGGTGAGGTAGTAGGGCTTGTTACTGGTGAGGTAGTAGCACTTGTTGTTGGTGAGGTGGTCGGACTTGTTGTTGGTGAGGTAGTAGGGCTTGTTGTCGGTGAGGTGGTAGGACTTGTTGTTGGGGAGGTAGTAGGACTTGTTGAAGGTGAGGTGGTAGGACTTGTTATCGGTGAGGTGGTAGGACTAGTTGTTGGGGAGGTAGTAGGACTTGTTGAAGGTGAGGTGGTAGGACTTGTTGTAGGTGAGGTAGTAGGGCTCGTTGCTGGTGAGGTCACAGGACTTGTTGCTGGCGAGGTGGAAGGACTTGTTGTAGGTGAGGTGGTAGGACTTGTTGTAGGCGAAGTGGTAGGACTTGTTGTAGGTGATGTCGCAGGACTTGTTGTAGGTGATGTAAGTTGACTTGTTGTAGGCGAAACAGGAAATTTGGTAAAACAGGCTTCAAGAAGATTCTCCAAGATTATACACTCAATGCTGATACTGCTTTGATTGCACGATTTTGCAGCTTCCACAAAAGCACTACATTTTTTGAATGAAATCAACCTGAAGAATTGTAAGACATCACCTCTTGTTACAGGTAAGAGCTCCTTGCATTTACTGACACAAAAATCGGCGAATTGAAAATATGCACAGCAAGAAGGTTGTGCTGCAGAACATGCATCTCGTGTTACATGTTGCAGATCGTTACAATTCTCAAGAAGTTGCTTATAAAATTCCAAATATTCTGAAAAAGGAATGCTGTTTTTCGGACTCCACAATTCCGCCTTATTCCAAATTCCCGAAAATGCACGAGAAGAACCAACAATTCCACAAAACAAAAGTAACAATATTTGTTTCATATTTATTTACCAATGCTTATTTTGAAGTAATGATAAAATTTATATTTTTCTCGACTATTTATCAGTATTCTACAACAATTAATTTATGCAAACGTTTTACAAAAAGTGAATGGTTTATCATGTACACTAAATAGCGATTAAAAATTCACGTAGGACAATCAAAAATTGCAGTGAATTTTACTTACGGCAGTTGTTTATCTGATGAAATTAACTGATTAGGACAAGTCATAAATGTTTAACAAGAAAGGATCAACGATTTTCTACCTAAATTTATTATAAAAGTAACAATCTTTCAGCATGATAACATCGACATTAGGTGTCACACTAATATATCAGAACAAGTGATATCCAGGTGAACTAACTTTCGCTCTCAAAATCCTACATGTCACTTTAAAGCCGATACATTCAAATTTGCACATGCAGTAAATACGTTTTATTTTGTGCCCCATTTTATTTTTAAAAGAGATTATTGCTATTTTAAACACAAATTGAATCAGAAACTTTGAAGGAAAATATCTCAAAGCAAGAAAAGAAATATTAATTTGTTTCGTTTCATTTTTAAAATAATTTTGATTCCATAATATTGACGTCAACAAAAAATTCCATCAAATTGAATAGTTTCGTTTTGTGTATGAAAATCTACGATCGTTAAATTTAACAATGCTCATTTAAGCGTCTTTTTTTCACTCCGGTATGACGGTTGGCAGCGGTAAGCGGTTGGCTTTTAAAATCCACCCTGAAGAATGATATTTGGTGGGAGAAAGTTAGCACTTAGACTGTCTGACTTTTGGTTTTGTCGAACAATGATTGATGACGAAACATACATCGGATCAGATAATTCTTCCATGATATTTAAGAGGTACAAGTTACAGATAAATAAAAGAATTATATTAGGTAGATACTTCTAGAATAATGTGTATTATTGTCAACGATAATATTTCAGCGTCATCGGAAACCCATCCTCACCAACCTCCAAAGTACGAAGAAATCTTCATGAAAGCACATTACAGCATGTCTGAAACAGACCAAGAACAAGGATAGCAAGGATATAGGAAACTAAATTATTCCTTTGATCTCTCCAGTCAGCCCTAATATTGGAATCACGTACTCTTCTATCCTGTTGTGACTTCTCTTCGCAATTAGTTAAAAGTCTCTTTGCCTTTTCAATTCTAAAAAGTGATACACATAGCCGATGGAACGATGGTTTAAAATGATAGTCTGGAATTGCTACATGCGTACTTTAAACTTTAACTGAATATCGATGGTCAAAACGAGACAAAAATTCTCTACACCTTCATGGATCTGTTTTCTATAAAATGGTAGGCTATTAATATGGCTCATAAAATATTAGCCGATTACCTAGTAATGAACCGAAAACACTATTCTGTTTGTTTCGTTATGTTTCGAAGTAATTTTGATTCGATTATATTTCATTTCCAGTATCAGATGTGCCATGGTTTGAAACCCAATCTCCAGGTTAGCAAACAGGTGACTCTCGCCGAGCCACGAGAACGGGACTCAATGGGTAAGGTAACCAACTATTTAAGCCAATTAGTAAATATAAATATCTCCCACGACTGCGATAAAGCTATATATATATTTACACTATTTATTTACTCTTTGTTAGCGTATGTCGTCAACTCGGCATATATTTTCTAGTGTTCGATAGCTTATATTGATCTTTGATAGAGAAAGTATTCATAGAGTTTCTATGTGATTAGAAGGCAACGGGTACAATTTTTATATATATATATATCAGTTGAGTAGACGCTTGTATTAAGGTAACGTTCAGCCATATTAATATTTTGACATATTTTTTGACATCTTTGACAGCCTTAATATTGTGCATTATTTGACTGATAACATTTTGAGGAAGCGGCATAAGCATTAATGACGTTGTAAAGTTCGACGGTATGATCGCAATCAAACCTTGGATGATAGCCGACGAGCGCCCCCCTGTTGTCGTATTGGGTTTACAGGCGTAATTTCCATTGTCGGTAACAGTATCTTATATTTTTGCGTGAACTAAATTAATTAATCCAGAGATTTCTGGCTTTTACATGTGAGAACACTTATGACTTTGACCTTCCCGTCCGACATCTGTGCTTCCACATAGTAGTAATTCTACGGACAACTGCAGTTTATCTAGATGTTCTTGCAGAATAAGCCAATGTTCAATGACGAAAAGCGTAGAATGTCTGAAAAATTCTAAACAGACATTTTGGGTGGTTTAATTTGTGAACATATCATATACATATTGTCGTGAGATCTAAAATGACTTAAGATAACATAAATGAAACGAAATACCATTCTTTAGACTTAAGCACAAAATAAAGTATTTCGACCCGAGAGCTTTTTTTGACAAATTTGGGAATAAAAGGATCAAACGGTATATAAATGATTTCATGATTCAATATATAGGATAAGTGAATATATATTACTTATACATGTAGCTGTCAAATTCTTTAAAGAACATATATCCACGCTATTGACATATTTGAGAAAGGGACTGTGAAACTGAAAGTGTACCCTTTTAAGACGTCCACAAAGCAACAAATGATTAACTTACTAATATATAAAAGTTGCTATGAATAACTTGTACGTTTTATGTATTTATTTTACTAAAGAACTCTCGACATTATGTAGCCTATAGCTTTTTTAACAGTGACCCAAATCGAGAGGTACTCTCTGGAATAAGGACATATATGCTTGTGGATACACAGGAATATCAAGCTGCATTGTATCTTTGGAAGTAGAAAAATATTTGGTTACATCGAATGAATAATGTTCTGAGTTATAATTTCAGAACAAACTATCCTGAAGCCAGTCGGAAAACGGAATCCTCGAGATGTAATGAAGTGAATCAGAGTTTTAACGTCTTACGTTCTGCTTCTGATTCAGTGACAAAAAGACAGACTTCGTGCAGTGTTAAATCGAACAAAATTGCCAGCACAGCGACATTTATTTTGCTTATACTGTTCCTAACGAACGTTGGAAACCTTGTAAAATAATAATAGCTGTTTATTAATTCTTGTAAAGTTAGGTCGGTAGTTATGCTTGTTAAAATTTCTAATATTGGTATCTTTTCAGGCGGTGCCATATGGTGTAATAATCACGAGAGTTATACAATGGTGGTACAATAATTGTTAGAATGATTTACAGTATTAAAGCAATTACTACGTAATTCGACATGAGATTTAAACTTTAATTTTACATTGACTTCCATGAAGTCCAACAAAGATTCAGGCAAGAGGCAGCTAATAAGGAACAGATCGATACGTGTTCGATATCCAAGTGATTTCTAATAATGAGGGATACTATTTTGTATTTGTGTCATGAAATAAAAAGAGAATTAATGACGATATACCCTGATTCTGTGTAATTCATCGCCATTCTTCATTACTGTGTTCCTATGACAACAACGGACACAAGAATTCTAAACCCCTCGAGCTATAAAAAGAAATTCTTATCCAATCCTCCAGAGTGGAAAAGTACTCAACAGAACAACAGAAAACAGAGTTATGTTTTGATGAGAGAGAAACACACAATTTTGTACGTAGACAAACCAATTTTAGATAAAGGAAAATGTCGTCTACTAATTTGACACGCCAATCTGTAAAGACGGCGCGTACTCAATCAATTGATGCCCAAAATGTGCTTCAAGGATTTAAAATTTTACCGACTGAACAGACGTCCTCCAGATCTGGCTCACGCTGCAGTCAACCTTCGAAAGCCAAAACAGCTCCCTGTGATACTTTGATTGCAACGCGAAAGGAAAATTCCATGGTACGCTTTGATAAGACAGCGTTGGCGAAGAAACCAGGCGTTGATCATCGATATCTGCCTCACGTTCATCGCCAGAAGACAGCAATCTTACCAAAGTCTGGTCTGCTCGAAAATTTAGAGGAGTTAAATTCACTTTTGCCGGAAGACATTTCGGATCGTGATTCTGCTGAGGTGGAAGCAATTAAAATACTAAATAAATTTATACCTTCTTTTAAAAATGTGTCAAATTTGGATCTGAAGACATTTTATTTTATCGAAAATGAGGCTCAGTTTCAACAGGAACCAAGAACATTGTATTGTATATTACCATTTAAATATGACAGTGCGCATGTCAAACATCTTGATCCCGGTTACGTCACTTTCAAGCTGCCGAAAGTCGACACTGGTAAAAATGACCTTTTCAAAAGTTTGCGGTCTGATGAAGGAACGCAACTCTCACCATTGAAGTTCCAGAGTCATTTTGAACAGCTCTTCACGAAAACCATTGACAAATTAGTAAAGGCACGTCGAAAAGTTCGATTTGTGGAGAAAAGTGAACCTGAAAATACTATAACGATACCTGACCAAGAAAATGAAAAATTGGTGACAATCAAAGGAGAGACAGGTCGCCTAAAACCGCTTGGTTCATTATCAGCAGAAGTTCCTGAAGCTATGGTGTACGATGGTGTGCCAAAAGATTCAGAAGCGAAAGATGCCCACAAACTAATCGAAAACTCAAATGAGATTGATAATCAAAATGCAAATATGCACTATTTCGGTGAAATGAGTAGCGCACATGCACCAATGTTAGAAAACAAGACAACATCTGCTGCAAACAACCCTGATGTTTTGTCCATTAAAGACGACCTGGTAAATATCACAAATACCAGTAGTGAGCGGCGGATATTACAGAATCAGAATCATAGGATATCTGTTGCTGAAACATGTGAAACAGTCAATTTTACTATTAAGCGGTCAGAGGAACCAAGAAGTCCTCGAATAAAGTGGATGAAACTTGTGGACAAAGACAAACCCTTAACCCTTAAACTTGAATGTGATTGGCTTCTTGAAATTGTCCCCGCCATTTTCAAGTCATCAAAAGAACCCGTGTACGTTACAAAGCCGTACACAGAAGACGCTAATCCATCGTCGGATTTAAGATGGCGTATTTGCTATGCCAAACGGGAAGCAAAGATTCTCATGTCGATTGGGAAAACAGACAAAGAACTGAGGCTGGCAACCATAAAACTAGTTACCCTCGTTTTGAAATGTGACACCAGACTGCATCTGTTAGATGAGTATCAAATTCAGACATGTTTGTTACATGAAATGGACGATTGTGTGGACGAGAATCCAAGATGGCAGCGACAAACATTAGAACCATGCTTCAAAGCTCTTATTGACAAAGTTTACATCTTCATCTCTGAGAAAACTCTTCCCCACTTTTTCATTCCTGATTTTAATTTGCTTGAGAATTGGACAGCGAGTGATTACGATCTCGCTAAAAGCGCCCTAAAGAGGATAGCGTCTAGTGATATTGTCCTATGTAATTCAATCCAAAAGTGTATAGGTCAAATGTCATCGTCTCGGCAACCATCACCACCACCGTCGTCGCTATCTGCTTGTTCTACAGAATTCTTGTAACATCAATTAATAAAATGTTTCAAATGTTTAAAATGTTGTGAGCCACAATTTCCATGGAATTCAATTCATTATTACCATATTCCCGTGAATGTCCTTATATACGAGTATCACATTTATTGTTTACACTTATAACCACTAAAGGTGGGCATTATGATAAATTTCTCTTGACAAAGTGCACCCGTCGTCGTTGACTTTCGTGCTTCACCAAGATGATAAATTCTTTGAAATGGAGAGATCAAGTGTTTACTGATAGTCACTGACAACTGAAGTCACGGTATATTGAAAGTCACTGCATATTAGGTCACGGTATATTGAAGTCTCTATACATTGAACTCACTGTATATTGAAAGTCACTGCATATTGAAGCCACTATATATTAAAAGTCATGGCACATTAAAGTCAATGTTTACTGATAGTCACTTACTATCAAAGTCATGGTATATTGAAAGTCACTGACTATTGAAAGTCACGGTATATTGAAAGTCACTGCATATTAGGTCACGGTATATTGAAGTCTCTATACATTGAACTCACTGTATATTGAAAGTCACTGCATATTGTAGCCACTATATATTAAAAGTCATGGCACATTAAAGTCAATGTTTACTGATAGTCACTTACTATCAAAGTCATGGTATATTGAAAGTCACTGACTATTGAAAGTCACTGACTTTCAATTGAAAGTCACTGACGATTTATGCTCATACTTTTATTGAATGTACGTGCCCAAACATAACAAAATATGTTCGTGCTCATGCTTAAATTGCATATTGATATACTACGACCTTATCAACAAAATACGGTCGTGCTCTTGTCTTGATTTGATTGCATATTGAAATTATCGCTTATCAACAAAATATCTTCGTGCCCTTGCTTTGATTGCAAATTGATATCACCGTTTATCAGCAAAATACGTTCGTGCCCATGCTTTGAACTGCATATAGAAATCAAAGCTTATCAACAAAACATGTTCGTGACAGTGCACCAATTTAACTTCAAGTATATCAAACCATTGAAAATGAAAATATCGTGCATTACTCTGTTATCTTTACATAGTGATAGTGTTAGCAGTTGTATTATCATATAGATAAAAACAGCTGATCATACACTACACACAGTGTGCAGTGACTGTTATCATCTAGTTAGTTGTCAAGTGTAACTGGGACTGAATAATTAATATGCTTCAAAGGTTTTCCCAATTTGTCCTCGCGGCTCCGGTGGCCAGCAGGACCGTTTCAAGGAGTATGAGTAAATTCAACAGGCCTATATCAGCTAATGATTTAGCCAGGCCAGCAGGAATATCAACAATGTTTCGTTTACCACATCAAACGGATGCAAAGGGTAAGTGTTTTTGACGTAACTTTGGAAGTTTGACCAATCTGGGACTATGTCACCATATAAAAAACCACGTTAAACCAATGTTTGCATCCAGTAAGGCGGTATGCTTGAATGGCTTTGAAGTCTGGATAACGTATTTTAAATGGATTTAGATTACATTGAAATAAATGAACCACAATGAACTTGTTCGTATATTGTCATAGTGTTATTCCCATCGTCCTTTCAATAATAGTAAATGTTTTGATAACTTGATAAACATATAAGTCACAAATAGATAAATCATGACCCAGTTATACAATGTTAAACCGTACTTCATATTTGTTGTGTGTCATACACATAACAAAAGCACGTTATAATATTCATAACATAGCCTCAGTTTCAATGAACACGTCAATAACATCTTTAAGATTTGCCACTTCCATCTGCGGAGGATCGAGTCCATTCGTCATCTCATAACACAAGATGTTGCTGCTTGCTTAGATCGTTCATTTGTGCTATCCAGAATAGACTACTGTAATGCCATACTTACTGGCATCACAGAGGAACAAATCGTGCTACCCGAATTGTTACAAAAACCTAATCAAGATCACACATCACACCTGTTCTAAATAATCTATATTGGCTTCCTGTTGGTAAAGTATCAATTTCAATTTATCAACACAGTGTCAACACAACAGCCCAATGTTATCTCCAAAATTTATCGTCAAAACGTTCATTAAGATCTAAAGGCAAAAAGTTACTAAATGTTTTCCTCCATACAATCTGAACAAATTTGGCTCTACAGTGCATCACTAATTTGGAATACCTGAATCTGCAGGAACTGCTCTATACCTGTTAACTAGTTTGGACCGAGGTGTCCGAAAGATTGAGAACCGCGTACTATAAAAATAACAGTTGACTTGGTTGGAACCGAGGTGTTGACTAAGAATAACCTAGAGTTCGATCAGGACAATAGTTGCAATGATACATTGACAGGTCGGTTCCTTCCTGCCCTGTCCTACATCATTGAACGCTTTTGTCCATCTTTGATTTGTCCATTCAGAGAGGTATGGCGAACATAAGCCTTCACTTCATTGCATTGTAGTATACATATATCACCATTTCATCTTTATAATTATGATTTGATTCTTCAGGTCTAGATGTGTGTATAACGGGGGCTTGTATTGATTCTGGTGCTTCTAATAGAGCAGGTACTCGTCATGGTCCCAGACAAATCAGATCAGAATCTAGTTTAATTCGAGAAGTCAACCCAGCCACAGGTAAGACAGGAATTCCGAATTAGTACTCTTGTTACGGTACTTATTTACTTTGGTCGTATTTGTGATCCAAAGTATGTTATGTGTCGTGTGAAAATCTATGATCGTACTTCCGGCTGGGTCAGTTACTACTACTGGTGTTTGCTTGATTGAATACCAGCCCCAAAGCTTGTATTTGGATCTGTATACTACCTTTGGGTGTTGGTATTAAATCAACACGTGGTATATTTGGGTGTTTGGTATTTTGAATTACAAAACCCAAATGATAATGTGTATACCAACTTTTCATTCACTTTTCAGGAGCAGAACCATACGACTGTTTACAAGTAGCCGATGTAGGTGACATACCACTGTGTATGTATGATTTACCAGAGGCTTGTAAACAAATAAAAAAGCATGTGGGTTCCCTGATGAAAGATGGTTGTAAAGTTATAACCATGGGCGGCGATCACACTATCTCTTATCCACTATTACAAGCAGTGAAGGTAGGCTACGTCTCTATTTTATGGATGGATCATTATAGTATGATTTGATGAAGTAAAACAACAAAGGCGAAGATAACATTGGTACCTAAAAAAAATCTACGAAATTAACCTTAATTGTACTTGTGACCAGCTGTGCAATATCATCATACTATACCCTTTCAGGAGAAGTATGGACCGGTCGGTTTGATTCATTTGGATGCTCACTCGGATACCAGTGACACGATGTTTGGTAATAAAGTGGCTCATGGTACACCGTTTAGACGAGCCGTTGAGGATGGTTGTCTAGACTGTTCTAAAGTTTTTCAAATTGGTATCAGAGGTTCTGGTTACTCGCTACAAGATTGTGATTGGGCCAAACAACAGGTAAGTCTTGTTATGTCATAGACTTTTTTCATTCGAACCTACAAAATCAATGATGGTCCCAAGAGCTTGTAGAAGTAGGCGCTTGAATATCTTGATTTAGGTTTCACCGAAAAGAAACCCACGGATTTCCAAATCAGGGTTACCTTCGTGGAAGTTTATAGAATTGCTATCAACTGATGTTCCGATGTTACATGCTACAGAGGCTTAATATCCCAGGTTGGATGGCAATGGAAAAAGATCTAATATTGTCTTGACAACATTTCCCTCAATATACACTTGCGACACGGCTTTGCAGACCATATATGCCAAGCGAGATTATATTCGGACAATTTAGCTGGAGTGCAATTCACTATAGATGAACTAATGCTAATCAGAATGCATTATTTTGTAATGTAATTAAGAATATTTACAGGGATTTAATATAATTCGTGCAGAAGAATGTTGGTATAAATCAATGGCGCCTTTGATGGAAGAAATCAGACGAACAATGGGAGATAACCCTGTATATATTAGTTTTGATATTGATGCTATTGATCCTGGATTCTGTCCTGGAACAGGCACGTACAGAATTTCTGGTATTACAACGGACAGTCGATTTATCTTAAGCTTCTTATTCGTGTAAAAATCAAATTCATGTGCAACTCTGACAAAATACAGCCATCTTAAGAAATAACTTCAAGAGGTTGCATTGATATGGTCGTCTTCCGACGGTATGTTATTGCATAATTGTAGACGAACTGAAAATCAAATCTTCATTCTGAAAGCATTGCTGCGAATAAGCTATATTATAAGGCACATATTCAAATGGCTGTATCCATTTTAAGATCAGAATAATTGGGCGCAATGTTTAATCTGTGAAATAGGAAATTACTGATTTTCAGTTAAGGTGACCTGGTCAGTTTGTGTCCGTCTCGTCAATGACACAGACGCCATCATTAAAATTGGAAAGGAACTTTCTCCATGTTGTGATACCCGATGCTGTTTAATAGGCAATTAGTAATCGACACGAATAGAAAATGTCTTTTTAGATAATAATCACTAACTTCATCAACACGACGTTTCGACAAGATTCCACTGTTCGTTATCAAGACTTAGTGTAGAATATAAAACAAATGAGGTACCATTGAGTTTAGGCATAAATATAAACAAACAAAATATCCCGAGGAATCTTTTCGAAACGTTGTGGATATAATGTGATTATTATCCATGCAAACGTTTATTCTTTATTGTAATACCTTTACATTATTTTATGGATATTTTAGGAACTCCGGAAATTGGTGGATTAACGACGATACAATGTTTAGAGATAATCCGTGGATGTCGAGGATTAAATATCGTAGGTGGCGATATGGTCGAGGTAATTACAGTCTCTTGGAATGATAATCCTTAATTTCCAACATTATACAAAGGTCTTATGGAAAATGGCCCTCGCATAATTGATCAAAGTATATTGGTCACACAGAAAATGGCCCAATGGTGATTTCAAAGTCCATAATGTGACCAACATTCTAGAAAATAATCTGCATTTGTTATTGGAGAATACTTGCAGCATCTATGTACATACTTATGATTTCCTGTTTGTACTCCTTGTATCTCTCTAATCCGAAACATCTGCCTCCAGCATCTGATGGATATTTTGACAGTTGTTGGCTGGAGTAAAGTCAGAAAAAATATACCCTGTTTAATGGGTTTTCCACACCTCCGAAAATGTGGTTTTTCCTACATAATATTAAATTGCCTTTCTACTGACTGTATATTAGTGATGTCACTTTTGTTTTGTTTGTATCACGTGATTCTGTCTTCAGTTAAACCTTACCAGATTATAATGTAAATATGGGTACATAATGTGCGTATTATAATCCAAATGATCAGAAAAGGCTCTTTCAAGCCAATCTATCCCAAAGATTATGTACATTGTACTTCAAAGTATATGTTGAACTATTTTCAGGTTTCTCCAGGCTATGATACGAGCGGAAACACAGCTTTAACGGCAGCAAACTTTATATTTGAAATGTTATGCGTCTTTCCCGGAGTAAAATACTCACAACGATAAACGGCCCCGCGAAAATCCATCCTAACGTTATCAATTTGAATTCCAAATCATACACTCAATATTATATTATGGAGATTACCATTTACAACTTTGGCGACGATGATTCTTGTTACAAAATCAATGTGAAATTGTTTCAGTATTCTTGGTCAGCAAAAGGACAATCCGACCTTCACATTTAAGACTTTAACGTAACTAAGTTAGAACCATATTGAAATAAAGGTATACATGTATTGAAAAAATTATGCTGTTTATGAGTATATATCTTATGCCACTTAAAGTCTCAATTAGGGTCAATGTACATTTTGAAATACATTTGTATATCAGTCGAAAAATGAAGGTTATGGTGACAGAATTCTGAAAACCGGGCTAATTTCAAATACTTTGTAATTTTCAATCAAATAAAGTTCTCGAAATAGGAAAACCAACTCTTGACATTAGTGTAATAAATCAAAAAAAAATGAAGGCTCTGAGTTGACAAGCTTAATCGCAGAGTGTTATCTGATGACGAACATGTAGGCCAATCACTTGCCTGTTTTGTTCATTTAGTGTCATAGAGGACAAATTGAAGGATCAAGTCAGTTGAGGGAAATGAACCACCTGCTATGTGATAAACCATTAGACCAATTAGCACTCGATTTAATACACTTGAATTAACTATATGTAGATATTTACTTACAAGACTATTATATTGTCGTCTACAGTGTAAATGGCGGGATATTGACAATGACGTCTACCACAGCGACATTGTTATCTAAATATATTATATTTATAAGGTCGTCACTTAGGTCACATTAACAAAAGGGAAAATAAATTCAACATCACAGTTGCGGAATTACATCAGGTATTTAGAAAGTATCGGCAACTTATATAATTTCGTACTGAGGTCATTTATTATTTTTGAGCTCTCAAAAACTTTGGTGTCAAGAACAAAGGAAAGTCAATCACGATTTGTCCAGAATCAGAGCCTAGATATATTGAGGAGCAATGCTTGTTACATAAAAATCTCGAGAAAGTCCTCATAGGTTGTAACTTATTAAAGTTACCCATTGACGTCGAGTCAGGGGAATGTTCGAGACTGTAAAATAGATGTGCTTGCCAGTTATACTGTCAACTGGATCTTCAGTAGGTCTATCTCAGCAAGGTTCAGATAAGCTAGCTGTAGAAATTTATTTGTTTTACTTCAGAGAGTTGTTTTGGAACCTATAAGGATACTGATGTTCGTCCTTTATTCAATCCCATTACTGCAACTAAACATTCTACAACATTGTCCTCCGGATATATTACTTGCCCCTCCGAACAATCAAATCTGGCTACGGGCCTGCATAGGACAAAATAATAATTCAATTTCCTTTACGAGCACATGGATTGGATTTCGGGCCGACCTAGAAATAATTGAGCATCCAAACAATCTTATAGTTGATAAAACAGGTGGTCAATGGGTGTCTAGGATATCGACATAATTAATTCATAATTACAACTGTAATTAGCCCCCTTTGTTGAATTTCCCTTTTAACTTTTTAAATCATTTATTAGGGAGTCTGTTCCTTTATTGTAATCATTAGGTCTTGTCCTCAAAATCATATATAGCCAGTCGAATTAGGCTACTAACCTGGACACAAGGAAAAGACATTAGGTTATGCCTCACAATCACCAGCACTGACGTTAGTTCATTTATCATTATTTCCTTCATTCATCCATGATATAAACTCATTCATCTATTTGTCTCTCACTCTAATCAAGCATATAGACTTCGATCTGTGTTTGTTATAGGCATCGGCTTCTGTGGTGTAAAAAAGGTTGATTTTATAAGATGGAATAATTATAGTAGTCTATAGCGTAGTGGAATATCGATCGGTGCCAAGTTGACAACTTGCCGGTTTCTGAGAGTCTTGGAGAATTAATGTTTGGTATCGACTTGGCTTCGAAACACTGCGGTGTGATTAGGGAAGCCTGTAGATTTAAGGCGTCGAGAACCCTCCACATTCATGTGAATTAGAGACATATCAAGCTGAATATGAACCATATTTATGGTAAAATGGAGGATTAATTATATTCCAGGATTAAACGTTTGTGATCTGCCGTGCTGTATTGATCAGAACCTACAGTTTACTCTCTACAACAATCGTTCGTTGATACCATAATTCAAAATGGCGTCGCATTCGTTCAATCGGTTTTCTTCTTCACATAATCAAAGCAGACGAATTGTTGAATCACTTAAAAAACGTTGACGTAGTAACCGAAACTTCTTGACGTCACATGAGAGAATTCTATGCATCTTTTAGTGACTTTTTGTGCCTATGTTAATAATTTGTGCTGTTTGGATCGTATTGTAGTGTGTCTTCTGTGCCTTATAGCTGTCATTTCTGTGTTGAGATGTTTTGAATTCTGGTTTTTGAAGCAACAACAATTGTTTGAACCAACATTTTGTGACGTTTGGATTCCAAGCGACGTTCTTTTGAGTCAATTGCGAATAAAATTACTTTCGGAGCGAGTTCTTCGTTTGCAGCACATTCTACAATCCAATAACATTGTAGTGAAGGAAATTCTGCATCCATTCAAGGTATTGAGAAATACTTGGAAGCTTCAAGACTTCCAGGATCCAAGAGTTTTGCAGGAATTCATAAAATTGTGTGACATGGGAAACGAAGAGAGCACGTTGTCAGAATGTAGTACGCCTCTGTCTGATTATTATGACTATCAGGATTACCAGTCTAATTATTCCGTAAACACTGACAATAAACCCGGTTCATCCCGTCATTCAACCCGTGCACCCTCTCCAATGGAGCCCCCGGAACCCGACCTCAGTCATCTGACGGCGGAGGAAATCGCCCAGATTAAGGCTGTAATGGACAGAGCCAAGGATATGCAATCGGCTGAGCAATCAAGAGTTCGGTAAGTTCATTTCATTAGTTTCATTTTTGTCAATCTAATATATTTCTTGATTGTATGTTGTCATTTTGCCAGAATTCTTGAGTCCTGAGAGGGATGCATTCGTGAAGGATGGATGACCCAGTTTCTTAATTATGCAAAGTATGTGTCTTGATGGTGGTTTGATTTTCCTTTAATAGGGAGAGATGCGGCATTTTGGAGAGTTGATTTTAGTCTAATATATGTAAATAGTCTTCAGAAGTACTAGACATGTAGGGAAACATACTTCAAATCAGGAATTTTACTCACTATTTCAATAAATGTCTTTTCTATATATCACAGAGTCGACATTTCAACATTCAAACGCGGATATTTCTAGACAAACATGGACTTGAAGGCTCAAATTTCGACGATGAGCTGTGGACATTATTACTGATTGGTTTAGCTAAAATATTTACGTTTCTGAGACTAAAGTATGATTGTTAACAAAAAAAGAAGTATCTGTCCCTTTAACTTGAAGCTATTTAAAACAATAGGTTAAGATCACGAAAAAAAAGTCAAAGATTCAGTACCAATTAATTATTGATGCCATAACTTCCAGCTGATACATATATAATCTAAAATGACCTGTTTCCCAAGGACATATACTCTGGCTATCTCTTTGACATTCAGCCGAGATGCAATCAACATTGTTGTGCACTACAGAGTAATATGTCATCAGGAAATGGATATTGTCACATAGGACAATAAATATAGTCTGTCAGTCGGTGCATAAAGTAGGACATTTTCGTGGAACATTCGTCAAAGTAAACTTACATAAAAGCCAATCACAATAGAAACTCTATTAGAGAGTGTATGGAAGCAAACAAGCACAACTTGAAAAATGTCTGACACATAGCTCTGTAAATACCTTTGGCATTTCTCAAGTTGGGTAGCTGCTCCTGGAAATAGAAATAGAATCTTTCATGAGAATAAAATATTCCATAAGCGACAATAATTCCATATCTGAGCAACATCCTGTGAAATATAACACAGAGAAAGCGAACTGTCCTATAGGTTATATGACATTATATACCCAGCAAGGGAGTTAGAAATTAGCTCATTGATCTTCATCATCTTCTTCGTGGTAAATTGATGATATAGAGATATTTGATGGCTTATAGGATGATTCTAGTTTACCATCAAGGAAATGCGAGTTAGTTAGATCAAACAAACACTTGACAATGCGGGCCAATATTTTTTTCATCGATACCTGTTATTCAATTTGTTCAATAACCGATGGTGTTGCATATTAAAATGAGCGACCCATATATAGACTGGGTTAAATTTTGTTATGATGATGGTCTGGAACGAAACGACATCAAATAATCAAAATTTATTGTTGTTTCCAGTGCACATATGTGATGAGCCATACCAGTAATCTTGGTGAAAGTCGAGATAGGCAGGATGTACGTCTTCGGCATCACAGATATCGGAATTATTCTCTGGAGTGGATGGAAGGGGGAAGGTGTGATATTCTTTACCTTTACAAGGAAATTGTCATGTAACACAATCGTGATCAATTTGCTAAAAGAATCAAAGGCCGCAGAAGAGCACTTCTCTTGTTCAAAGTGATGGTAGATCGTGCGTTACCTTCAGCCAAACAGTTTCTTATGAATGTTCTCTATTTAGCACTGGTTAACTTCCATTTTTTGTTTTTGGAGTCTAATGTCAGTTACAGAACATGATTGTCGTGTCCAAATAATCCTTGTTTTTCCACAAGTCATCTGAAAAGCCATTCATTAAATTTCTCTCGTCACCTGGAAAAATCCCAGCGAATCTTAAAAACTGATCTATCAGTCGACTGCCTTTCAATTCCCCTCCATTCTTTCAAACGTCTAGTTCCACTGGTAGGCTACCTAACAATGGAATGGAGCCAATACTGGTCCAGCCTCAGGGATACTTCAGTCTCGTTTGATTTATGATCTTGGTTTGTTGTATACATGTATTGTGTGTTGATGTCTAAAAATGTTGTATCAAACATTTTTTTAAAAAAGAAACCGTCTGTAAATATATACTCTAATTAGATCTCTGACCATTGCATCAAAGAAGGCCTTGAGGATTGTTTCAATATTTGTTATTTGAATCTAACC